AAGAAAAAAAAAAATAATAATAATAATAAATAATAATAATAAACGGAGCAGATACAATAGGCCTTCGCAGCTTCACTGCTCGGGCCTAAAAAACAAGAGGCCTTCGCAGCGCTTTCGCTGCTCGGGCCTAATAATACATTTTATTTAAAAGCGCCTTTCAGGACACCCAAGGTCACTTTACAGAAAACACGTGATAAAATACAATAAAACAATAATAAAACCCAAACAAGAAAAAACAAAGAGAGAAACAGTTCAATAAAATCAGAGGTTGTAGGCAGATTTAAACATATGTGTTTTGAGTTTTGATTGGAAAAGGGTACAACTGTCGATGTTCCTGATGTCTGGGGGAAGTGAGTTCCAGAGACGGGGAGCAGAGCGGCTGAAAGCTCTGCTCCCCATGGTAGCGAGACGGGCAGAAGGAACCGCAAGATGGATGGAAGAAGATGATCTGAGTGAACGGGACGGGGTGTGAATACTTATAAGGTCTGAGATATATGGAGGAGAGAGGTTGTGGATTGCTTTGAAGGTATGGAGGAGAATTTTGAAGATGGACCTGAATTTAACTGGGAGCCAGTGAAGCTGCTGGAGAACCGGGGTGATGTGGTGAAAGGAAGGGGTTCTGGTGATAATACGGGCTGCTGAATTCTGGACCATTTGCAGTTTATGAAGGAGTTTGTTGGGGAGACCATAAAGAAGTGGATTGCAATAGTCGATACGGGAGGTGACGAGGCTGTGGACGAGAATGGCGGCAGTGTGATGGGTCAGTGAGGGACGGAGACGGTTTATGGAACGTAGATGGAAGTATGCTGACCGAATTATGTTATTAATGTGAGCTTGAAAAGAAAGTGAGCTGTCAAGAATGACACCTAGACTCTTGACGTGAGGGGAGGGGGAGACTATGGCGCTGTCAATTGTTAAAGAAAAGCTGTTAGATGTTGAGAGGGTGGAGTTAGTGCCAACTAGAAGAAGTTCAGTTTTATTGCCGTTGAGTTTGAGGAAATTAGAGGTGACACCAATCAGCGGAGGTTTCATTAACTGACCAATGAGCGGACAGAACGCTTCTCAGTACATCCCTGGGAAAAGACACTTATTGTTGCCAGAATTAATACATCAAGTAAGTTTATCTAGTGCATTAGCAAACCTGAATACAAGACATTCGTGTATTTAACTAAACTGCTTTAATCACCCAAAGTTCCCGCCAATCTGACGGCCAATCCAAACAACAGAAGACTGTATATTCCCCCAGGAATAGAGCGCGCCGCTGGCTTTTGCTGCTGCCGTGTGTCAGCTTATCAAAGCAAAAACAATTTTCGCTGATCGCGGTCGTTTGTCGCCTGCCATGTGGGTTGATGTTCTGCCCTAAAGGTTGCCCTCGGCTTGGAGGATGTTAGGTGTTTCAGCCAGTCATTTCACCATTATTAACTATTTTGTTTTTCCTGGTTGTGTGGAGAGACGGGTCAAACACCCCCACACAACCAGGTCTACATCTACGGGGGCCTGTAGTGGCCAAAACACCAAACCACCAACACCAAAATGTAAAATATAAGAAATAATTTATTAAATGATTAAAAATATATTTAAAATGAGCAAAAATAGACAATTGTGATTAAAAAATGTAAAGAAAGAGAGAGAGTGAATAGGAAATAGAGAAATCAGTGGATCCTGAGGAAGGTGGAAAAGGTGGGGAGAGCAGAACAAGGAGAGGGTGATGAACATCACACCAGAACCAGCCTGAACAAGTGAGTTTTCAGCTGCTTTTAAAGGAGACCACTGAGTCCACTGATCTCAGGCTCGGGGGGGAGAGAGTTCCAGAGTCTGGAGGCCACAGCAGCAAATGATCTGTCACCTTTGACCTTTAGCCTGGTGCCGCACAACCAGTAGGCTTTGGTCACTGGACCTTAGGGACCTGCTGGGGGTGTGGGGGCTGAGAAGATCACCAATGCATGATGGTGCTTGTCCATGTAAGGCCCTATAGACTGGAACACCATGTTTTCCTTACGCTGCGTGACCCACGTGAGCGTGATCCTCTGCCTCGTGGATTTGTTTACCTCATGTATTTTGGAAAGTTGACTGGAATCCTGGTGAATGACATCCTAGAGACCACCCCTAGTTTCCACCTATGGAATGTAGATTATTTTTCAGGAATTATAAAAGTATTATAAACAAACATATAGCTTTGACTCTTAACTGATTTTTTAAATAAAAACTTTATGGGAAGAATAATGTCGGGATACAAATTTTTCATCGGAATTTCAACTAAAATGTACGGAGATATAATTCTGGTGGACTGTGGCCAGCCCTACGGTGTTACTGTAGGAGTCGTCCTTGTGTTATGAACTTCCTGTTACCTTCCTCTCACACCCTTTGATGAATCGCTGCTTGTCCTCCTTCCTGCCTCCCTTTTTATTCCCACACCTCTGACTGGCGAATTGCGTATTAAATTCCCCTGTGTTACATAAAGACCTCCTGTCCTCGGCCGCTTGCTGTGACAGGTTTTATAATCCGCACAGCAGTGAGGATTATTTCACCTTTTTCGCAGGAAGACTGAAAAGGCTCCAGGTGTTTTTCACAGAAGTTGCTTCTCTCTTTTAGTTCTTTTTCTTTCTTTTCTATTTTCACGCTCCACTTGCCGTATCACTTCATGTCCTTCCCACTTTTCCTTGAGTGTTCCGTCCCCGTGACCGAGTTTCCTTTTGTCATCCCACCGTCACAGCGGTGCGTCTTCTCACCGTGTTGATGTGACGGAGGCCAGACCTGTTGAAAACTGGAGGCCTGATGATGAAAAGGACTGATGATCTGGACCGTTGCCAGAGCAACGCATAAGCATTTCACCGATGTAAACAAATGTGCCGCGCACAAAAGAGGCACCGCAGAATTCCTTTCAGGGCTTCCGTATAGAAATGTGTCCCCTTTCTCCGGCGGTTTCCCACTGCGTCCACACACACACACACACACACACACACACACACACACACACACACACACACACACACACTGGATTTGAAACAGTCCTGCCGTGCTCATCACAACTTGGGGTCACAAGTTTTTGTGTTTTATTTTTTTTTCCCACCCCTCCAGTGACCTCACTTTGTGTCTGAGCCATGCAGCTTATTCTGTCTCTGGTGTTCCTGCCAGCTTCGATGTAAGGACGTGATAAGCTGCTTAATGCTCCGTTTCGTAGTCATGAATCACTCCAAATAGGTTTAAATGACTTCTATAATTTGTGGATATATGTTTGACATTCTGCTTTATGAGAAGCGTTAAAACAAAACACGATTCCACAGCGACGGGCCTCAGGAACGCTTTGACTCAACTATTTGTAGCTTGAAAGCTACGAGCTCAGAGCTGATTTGATTTTAAATTTGACATGAAAACAGTAAATAAGTAAATACTTTCCTCTGCTTCCTAGATCGACTGATTCACGTTTTTTCTTCTCGATTTGAGAAAAATTATTATTATTTTTTGTTCATAATTATCAAGAAAAGTATGCATTGGAACAGTCTTGATTTTATTATCAGCTTGGTTTTCAGCACAGCGGGGGGAATGCGAGGCTGTGACCTGAATGTGTAGAGAATATTCCGGAGCGAGGCTTGGGGGCTAGCTAGCATACATTTTCCATTATTTAAAGTGTAATTCTGTCATCACGCCTGAGCTTTTAAAGCTATTTTCTTTGTTAACCTAAAATTAGTCAGTGATGAGAGGAAAGAGAACCTGATGACTGTCTAAAAATTGGTTAAAATACCCATTAAAACGGACCGAAGTTTCTGTTGGCTTGTTTTTGGAAGCAGATGGTCCACGTCACTTTTATTTGTGTTGAATAACTAGAGCGTAAGTTGTCATTTTCTTCTGGTTTGAGAGATTTCCAAGAAGTCCTTAGAGGAATATTTTGTTATTTCTAATGTGGTAATGGATTGATGAGCTAACGGCTAGTTTGAGTGCAATCAGGACTAAAGTGAGTTGGTGCCGTTTAGGCTAGCATTGTTACGTAAACATTGATAACACCAGTTTTGCTTTATGCTGTTAGTGGAAAAACTGCTGCCAGTCGAACCCCTGGATGCCCTTTACTGCTGCTGATATTAATGTTTGTACATAAAGCTGAGCGATAAAACAATGGCGGTATATAACTCAAAATAAGTTTTGCTTGATAGACATATGACAACAGGTTGATGTAAACCTTCGATTTAAGGAATAGACGGCAAGCCAATCAAGTGTTGCTCCTCGCTGGACCGATCATGTGGCACAGTAGCAGCCTGATGTGCGAACGGCTAATGTCTGTGCAGCTGTAGTCTCTTTCTTCAGGTGACTGGTAGGAAAATTAGTTCCCCAAATGGGGAAAAAAGAAGATGTTGTGAACGTGTCCAGCCTGTCACACAGAGGGTATAAAGTACTGAAAGTATATTTTCTATGTGAGCACGGATAATCTTTATTGTTTAGATTTTTTTCTTTGAAAGCTGCTTAAATTTGCACTTAGGATATAAACCTTTGTTTTTATTTTTTTATTGATTATCCTTTAAAAGGAACAATTTAAAATGAGCAGAGATTTTGAGAATTTATATATCCATACCTGTTTTTGTTTATTTTTGAATATTTCTATTTTCGTTCTGTTCTCTCAAAATACTTGAAGATTTTAGCGTTTTGCATGTTCTGCTTTTGAAAACGTGTCTTTAAAATGAAAATAACTTTCTGATACCTTCAAATGTCACTTAGAAGTACCAGAGAACAATGAAGACGAACAAAAATGGTGATTTGTTTTGTGTTGTGATACATATCGATATCAACTGATATGAAAAATGTTAGTTTTGAACCTGAACTGTCATTTCCTGAAGGCTGTAAACTCTAAACCGCGTAGACTTATAGGAAGCTAACAAGTATAAAAATAGATGAAAGTAGGAAGTTCTTAACAGAAATAAGCTTCAAAATGACCAAAATTAAAGTTTGCATTAAACCTGCCTGATGTCACATGAGTGGTTTTTAGTCTGGACTTTCCTGTGTGTCAACAGCAGCATGCAGAAGCTCACACAGCTGGAGAGGCTGGACCTGGGGAGTAATGAGTTTGTTGAAGTGGTGAGTATCAGACGGGCGGTCGATGCCCAGAGCGCACCTCCTCTCCTCCTCTCTGAGAACTGTTGGAGCACACGTGCAGAAACCTGATGTTTATTATACATTTCTATCCTTGTATACCTCTGACTCATCATCACCTTTCTGCGCCTGCAGCCTGAGGTGTTGGAGCACCTGACTGGACTCAAGGAGTTGTGGATGGACGGGAACAAACTTTCGTTTCTGCCTGGGGTATGGTTTACTACCACGATCCATTTCCATCTAAATAAACGGCGGATGTTTAGTTTTAGAAAACACTGTTTCTACATAAATGGTGTGTGTGTGTGTGTATTTAGAATGTATTGTGTTTGGTTTCCTTTACTGAATTGGGCTCCCAGCTTGCTGTAACTGGGTCACAGCGTTGGCTCTCCTGGCAGCATTTCAACAGCATCAGCTGTAATCACAGACCGGCCTTTTATTAGCAGTGGAGCAAATAAACCCAAACCGTCTGCCGTAGCTCGTCTCCTTCATTTGGTTTTAAAATGCTACGTGGAAAAAAACATTTCTGATGGTGGTGTTTTGTGACTTTATGGTTGCTCGTGTCTGTCCAGATGCTGGGGACACTCAAACAGCTGGTCTACCTGGATGTGTCAAAGAACAACCTGGACATGATTGATGAAAAGATCTCCGACTGTGAGAATCTGCAGGACCTCCTGCTCTCAAACAACGCTCTGACTCAGCTGCCCGGCTCCATCGGTGAGCATCACACTTTTCACATTCGTCTTACCCCGGCTTTCCACAGGAGCCATCAGCAGCACGTTACTGCAGCAGCACGTCATAGCTGCTGATAGGAACCGCTGTGGTCAACAGAACCTTTTCCACTGGAGCCGTCAGCAGCGCGAGTCGGCCGCGTCTCAGGAGCAGCATGTCGCGGCCTTTAGGCGCCGGTTCTATTTTCTACGCGAGACGCCTCTGAAACGGGTCAAGTTCGACATTTTGGGGAAGGAAAGACAGGAAATCGGACGCGGAAATGGAGAGAAGCTCCCGAGATTTTCAGAATAAAGAAACGTATTGCCTTCCGGTTGCTTTACTTTTAAAAAAACGTTACTAACTGTGCGGCCCCGTGAGAAGTTATCACCTAGCTAGCGGTCTCCTTTGTTTTTCAGGTCCGTATTGGCGATTATAAAACGGACAGAACATAAAACACAACCCTTTTGGAGCCGTGTTGTAATTTTCTCCTGCTTGTTGTTGCGTTTACTGACGAAGTCACTCGTGTGACTTCGTGCTCGGTCGGTGACAGCTGCTCCCCTGCTGCCTCGCGTCTCGTGGGAAGGGCCAAGCAGCAGCTTACGCGAAAAAGATGTGCTGCTGCAGTAACGTGCTGCTGACGGCTCCGGTGGAAAGCCGGGGTTACTGAGGAACATCTGTTACCAAACTCATCTGTGTTCGCTTCGAGCTGCTGTGTGTTTTCAGGTGGCTAATGTTCAAAACCTTCTCTTAAAGCCATTGCTGTTTTTTTTTTTTTTTACTTGCTAATAAGTTTTTATTTCTAACTAATGAGTTTAAAATCTATCCGTATCGTTTTTCCCACGTCCAGAGAATCCAACACTGGTTTATATTTAGTCTTAAAAAGTGTTTAGTTATGTTTGACATAAATAAAATGGTCACTTTGATCTTGTAGTAGTCTGGTTTCCACTGATGAATCATCTCTAATCTGAGCAGATGTTCACCAGGTTTGTTCTGTAGAAGCCAAACATGATTAATCACGTGAGTGAAAAGCTGGCAGCTGATCAACTCTTTCCAACTTTCTTCATCATCTTTATTCTTCCATATTCGCAATGTGATGACAAACATGCCAGTGTGTAGATCTGTTGGTCAGCGATCTATCGCAGGGGTCCTCAAACGTTCAGGGGTAAACGTTTTCCACGGATCCCGTTATCTGTTGTAGCCTGGGTCACCTTTAGCAAACGGTTGAGACTTACACACATCAGAAAAATACTGAAGTGTTTTGTTGCTTTGTGATGTGAAGCCATTTAAACCTGATTAATCATTGCTCATTTTGCTGCATTTTAAGACACATGGCACATTTTGGGATTTCGTTGTCCTTCTAGGTAAAGTCAGACCTGTGAAAGCTGGTTTTGTATGATTTGATGATGTGAGTCAATGTGTGAATTTTACTTATTAGCCTAGCCCTAGGAGATGCATAAGCTGTGTCTTCAGGCCTCACCACGTGTGTTTCACAAATACATACAGTGGTGTGAAAAACTATTTGCCCCCTTCCTGATCTCTTATTCTTTGCATGTTTGTCACACAAAATGTTTCTGATCATCAAACACATTTAACCGTTAGTCAAAGATAACACAAGTAAACACAAAATGCAGTTTGAAATGATGGTTTTTATTATTTAGGGTGAGAACAAAATCCAAACCTACATTGCCCTGTGTGAAAAAGGAATTGCCCCCTGAACCTAATAACTGGTTGGGCCTCCCTTAGCAGCAATAACTGCAATCAAGCGTTTGCGATAACTTGCTACGAGTCTTTTACAGCGCTCTGGAGGGATTTTGGCCCACTCATCTTTGCAGAATTGTTGTAATTCAGCTTTATTTGAGGGGTTTCTAGCATGAACCGCCTTTTTAAGTTCATGCCAAAGCATCTCAATAGGATTCAGGTCAGGACTTTGACTAGGCCACTCCAAAGTCTTCATTTTGTTGTTCTTCAGCCATCCAGAGGTGGATTTGCTGGTGTGTTTTGGGTCATTGTCCTGCTGCAGCACCCAAGATGGCTTCAGCTTTAGTTGACGAACAGATGGTCGGACATTCTCCTTCAGGATGTTTTGGTAGACGGTAGAATTCATGGTTCCATTTATCACAGCAAGCCTTCCCGTTCCTGAAGCAGCAAAACAACCCCAGACCATCACACTACCGCCACCATATTTTACTGTTGGTATGATGTTCTTTGTCTGAAATGCTGTTACTTCTACGCCAGATGTAACGGGATGTTTGCCCTCCAAAAAGTTCAACTTTTGTCTCATCAGTCCACAAGATACAGGTGCTGGCCAGTAAATTAGAATATCATCAAAAGGTTGAAAATATTTCAGTAATTCCATTCAAAACGTGAAACTTGTACATTATATTCATGCAATGCACACAGACCAATGTATTTCCAATGTTCATTACATTTAAATTTGATATTCATAAGTGACAACTAATGAAAACTCCAAATTTGGTATCTCAAAAAATTAGAATATTCTGAAAAGGCTGAATATAGAAGACACCTGCTGCCACTCTAATCAGCTGATTTACTCAAAACACCTGCAAAGGCCTTTAAAAGGTCCCTCAGTCTTGTTTTGAAGGCACCACAATCATGGGGAAGACTTCTGACTTAACAGCTGTCCAAAAGACAATCATTGACACCTTGCACAAGGAGGGCAAGACACAAAAGGTGATTGCTAAAGAAGCTGGCTGTTCGCAGAGCTCTGTGTCCAAGCACATTAACAGACAGGCGAAGGGACGGAAAAAATGTGGTAGAAAAAAGTGTACAAGCTCTAGGGATAACCGCACCCTGCAGAGAATTGTGACGACAAACCCATTCAAAAATGTGGGGGAGATCCACAAAGAGTGGACTGCAGCTGGAGTCAGCGCTTCAAGAACCACCACGAGGAGACTCATGAAAGACATGGGATTCAGGTGTCGCATTCCGTGTGTCAAGCCACTCTTGAACAAGAAACAGCGCAAGAAGCGTCTCGCCTGGGCCAAGGACAAAAAGGACTGGACTGATGCTGAGTGGTCCAAAGTTATGTTTTCTGATGAAAGCAAGTTCTGCATTTCCTTTGGAAATCAAGGACCCAGAGTCTGGAGGAAGAGCGGAGAAGCACAGAATCCACGTTGCATGAGGTCCAGTGTAAAGTTTCCACCGTCAGTGATGGTGTGGGGTGCCATGTCATCTGCCGGTGTTGGCCCACTCTGTTTCCTGAGGTCCAGGGTCAATGCAGCCGTCTACCAGGAAGTTTTAGAGCACTTCATGCTTCCTGCTGCTGACCAACTTTATGGGGATGCAGACTTCACCTTTCAACAGGACTTGGCACCTGCACACAGTGCCAAAACCACCAGCACCTGGTTCAAGGACCATGGTATCCCTGTCCTTGATTGGCCAGCAAACTCGCCTGACCTTAACCCCATAGAAAATCTATGGGGTATTGTGAAGCGGAGGATGCAATACGCTAGACCCAACAATGCAGAGGAGCTGAAGACGACTATCAGAGCAACCTGGGCTCTCATAACACCTGAGCAGTGCCACAGACTGATCGAGTCCATGCCACGCCGCATTACTGCAGTTATTGAGGCAAAAGGAGCCCCGACTAAGTATTGAGTGCTATACATGCACATTCTTTTCATGTTCATTCTTTTCAGTTGGCCAACATTAGAGAAACAAACATTTTTTCATTGGCCTTTAGAATATTCTAATTTTCTGAGATACCAGATTTGATGTTTTCATTGGTTGTCACCTATAAATATCAAAATTAAACGTAATAAACATCGGAAATACATTGGTCTGTGTGCATTGCATGAATATAATGTACAAGTTTCACGTTTTGAATGGAATTACTGAAATATTTTCAACCTTTTGATGATATTCTAATTTACTGGCCAGCACCTGTACTTTCCCACAAGTCTTGGCAATCATTGAGACGTTTCTTAGCTAAACTGAGTCGAGCCCTGATGTTCTTTTGGTTTGCGTCTTGGAAATCTGCCATGCAGGCCATTTTTGTCCAGTCTCTTTCTTATGGTGGAGTCGTGAACACTGACCTTAATTGAGGCAAGTGAGGCCTGCAGTTCTTTAGAAGTTGTCCTGGGGTCTTTTGTGACCTCTCGGATGAGTTGTCTCTGTGCTCTTGGGGTAATTTTGGTCGGCCTCCTACTCCTGGGAAGGTTCACCACTTTTCCATGTTGTTGCCATTTGTAGATAATGGCTCTCACTGTGGTTCGCTGGAGTCCCAAAGCTTTAGAAATGGCTTTATAACCTTTACCAGACTGATAGATCTCAGTTCTCATTTGCTCTTGAATTTCTTTGGATCTTGGCATGATGTCTAGCTTTTGAGGTGCTTTTGGTCTACTTCTCTGTGTCAGTCAGCTCATATTTAAGTGATTTCTTGACTTTTACCCATTTATGACTAGACTATTTAGTAAAATTTGTGCTGGAAATGTATCTTCAGCAATTGTTTTTCAACTTTATTTTGATTTCTGGAAATCATCTGGAGGCCCCCTTTGTCGCTCTGGGTGACCTTAAGTGGGGACCCCCCGACCCCAACTTTGGAAACCGCACATCGATGGGATGCACTGAATGTACCTGAAGAAAATCAGCTAAACAAAATAAATCTAGAAGGAGGATTTTAGAGTAAAATGTTAAACAATATTACATCATCATTACGTTAATACCAACCCATCATTTTTGGATTATCTCACATTGTATTAAAAGCCTGACTGCACCAAATGAATAAAAAAAAATGTAAAAAGGTCAGATTTTCATAGTTTTATTTTGTTTTTTTAGCTATGTGAACATCGGAGAAAAACGATTCAAGATTTATTTTATGTGCTTATTCAGAAGTTAAAACAAGGATAATAAAATCAGCTGAGTTGCCGCTCATTGTGGTCGATATGAGGACCGATTACTAGTCGGCGTTTTACTGTATCGATGTCGGTTCTAATGAACCTAATTAGCTGCTCTAGTGGACCCTTCTCTTTAGTGGTTAAACGGTAATAACTGATCAATACCAGCCTGGGCAGCTGTTGTTGTTGTCCTCTCTAATCCGGTCTCCTGGTTTTCCGGTTTCTAGGCTCCTTAAAGAAACTGAGCACGCTGAAAGTGGATGAAAACCAGCTGATGTATTTACCAGACTCCATTGGAGGGTGAGTGTTGGAGCTTCTAAACTCCTAAAAATCTGTGGATTGTCGTGCTTTTGTCATTACGCATCCACTGGTCAAAGAAATAAAAGGTCTGTGGATTAATCCTGTGAGGTTTGATGAGATGATTCCCAGATTCAGGACTGAGACTAAACCTTTTTCTCAGGCTGATCATGTGCACAGCAGGCAGGTAAATCCAGCTGCTTCAAGTCACAGATTACCATCCATCCATCGTGATTTTTATTTCTGTTGTAATTTTCACCCATGAGAGAAAAAAACTGCAGAGTGGTGCTTTTGTTTCCAAACAGCATCAGTTATCACTTATGTCACAGCATACATCTCCTTCTGCACTTTGGCTTAGATTATGCGACAAAGCCTATGGTTTAGCTTAATCCCATGCAATGATTTTAGCCGAAGTGAGCTCTTTTTTTCTCTTTTATTTTTAGCTGATTATTATTTTTATGTTTTATGTGTTTTGTGGGAGTTGAACCCTGTTCTCTGAAATCGCAGGACAAAGTAATTCTCCTGTAATTTATCTAGTTTATTCCCATTTTACCTGTTAGTCCCTCTCCAGCCGGGATTAAGACCCCGCTGAGCTCCTCACAACCGTTAAGATTTATGCTTGATTGCATCAAATGGTGAAAACCTCCTTCAGTGTGACGGGAATCATGATGCTGCTACACTTACAGTATTCCTTCTCATTTCTGCATCCCTAAAATAACTTTTTGTGACTTCACGATGATCTAGTCACCCATGACTGCTTGTGTGTATTAGTTTTTATTAGAGTGAGCATTATTAAAGGGATATTTTGCAACCTTTTCTTATTTTAAAATCCTTTTCTCGAGCCAGTACGTGCTAAAATATGATCCTTTACAGGGTTAATGGAAGGCCACCCAGCCACCCTGTGGCCTGAATATTCCACTTGCATCGTCAGACTACTGGTCCACTCTGTTGGGACTTTTAGCTGACATACCTGGCGCTGCACTCTGGTTCCAGAACGTTTCCTGCATGTTTTAGATCGTGAACACAGCTGATTTGTTTAATTTAGTGATGAATCACACCTGTAGACACTAATGAAGGCTGGGAGATGCTTCAGCTGTTAGATTAAGGTGTATAAAAGACAAGCACACAGCAAGGAGATGGGTTTTGGCTTCGGTTCTACAAACGGACACTAGGGGATGCCATAAACAAGCAAAACATCCTAGTTTCTGTTTATTCATCGTGTTCGCTGTGTTTTTTAGTGTGTAATTGTAAAAAGAGAAGGTTGATTGTTTGACTCTTTCAGACTGACGTCAATCGAAGAGCTGGACTTCAGCTTCAATGAAATCGAAGCCTTGCCGTCCTCCATCGGTCAGTGCACCGGCATTCGTACTTTTGCTGCAGATCACAACTTCCTCACCCAGCTTCCCCCGGAGGTGAGCCTGTATATCAGCGTTTGTCAGTCTACTCGGCCGTTGCTGCATCTCGTGACTCAACAGTCCTCCGTGTGTTTCCCTCACAGCTGGGTAAGTGGAAGAATGCCACCGTGCTGTTTCTGCATTCCAACAAGCTGGAGACTCTGCCTGAGGAGATGGGAGACATGCAGAGGCTGAAAGTTATCAATCTGAGCAACAACAAGTGAGTCGGGCCTCACTGGGGTTAAAGGGCACCTTAGATACTAAAAAACAATTAATGCAAGGATGACGTTTAGAAAGTTTAAAGATATTTTCACTACATGACTAATCAGCAGATTGGATAACCTGAGATGTTTTACAGTAGCTGTTCTCAAAGCCCCTCTAGGAGCTTTGCCAGTGATGCTTGACTGTATAAACTATTAAAAGGGGTTAGTGAGCAGGTTGGAAGAATCTGAAGTTTAATTATAAAATCCAGATTAAAAGATTACATCCTGACAAGAAATGTAATATTTTGGTTTGAAAAGTCGAAGCCTGCTTTGCCAGCATCAGAAATGCCAGATGTGCTAAAGCATTTAGTCCACAGCAGCGAAGGGCTGAACGAGAAACCGAATACCCGATTTTGGGGTCAGAAATGGCAATTTCAATTCAATTCATGATTGTCTTCACAAAAAGCTTCAGTGGAATATTCACAATGTACAATAAAATTTATAGAGATGACAGGAAATGACATCATACCATTGCACCATTAACTCATTCACTGCCAGCCGTTTCCTGAGCAGAAAAGCCGTTCGCTGCCAGCGTTTTTCAGCGTTTATGTTGTTTTTTTTAAGAGTGACAGAACGTTGCACGCTAGGATGATGTCAAAGCCAAAACTCACAAAACAAAGCAAAGACTCACCTCTTACATCAGGAAGAATCAGCACGTTTCGAGCTTTATCCGTTCTTTCATAATCCATTGTAGAATTGTGATCGGCAGAAGCTTTTCCGGTTCGCGCCTCACTTTTTTTAAAGCAGCGACCCAAAACGATCTCCTAACACGTGGATTTTCTGCTTCCTGATCACGTGGCATGTGACGTACGCGGATGAAGATCGGCTTTAGAGCTGAGATGTTTGTTCTTACGGTGCGGGGGCTCGTTCCGATGCCCACACAGTAAACACCTGTCGTTGGCAGTGAATGAGTTAAAAGCTATTACTCTAATGCAAGGAGGAAGTCCGAAGCTACGATTTGGACATTTTTCTGGTTCTCCTGAATGTTTATTCCCACAAAAACACTCCCAACAACAAACACCTACACTTTTTACCAGTGGTTTGTTTTGAACGAGCAGAAGTTGTGCTGTCAAGTCTGATTAGTTATTACGATAAATTCCTTTCTGCTGTTAAAGCAAACGGGCGAATCAGCCTCTTGGTTCCTTCCTCTCACACACACAAGGTGGTGAGTGGAGCAGAGAGCAGCAAACATAAGTAATATCGGGCGTTGCAGCTCCACAAAAGCAAAACACCTAGAAAAACAACTAAAATGGCAAAACCAGTCGGCTGATGCTTCTTGCTGCTCCCACCGTAACGTTAACACCAGGGGAAAACCTGGAATGTTTAATATAGTTGATACCAGATCCTGGATCACTCGGCAGAGATTTATTCTGACCAGGTTTTGCGAAATCCCAATTTCACTTATTTTTAGTAAAGAATAATTTACCTCTCACAATGAGAAAACATAATGGTGGTAATGGAATATTTTCTGTTGCAGGTTGAAGAATCTTCCTTACAGTTTCACCAAACTCAATGAGATGACTGCAATGTGGCTGTCTGAAAACCAGGTAAGACCTTAACCTGCTGCAGGAACAACTTCTGCAGTTATCTAAGAGGCTAAGCTACAAAGTTAAGCTGAGGCTAAAGTAGCTCACAGAGAAACATCTGGAATACACGGAAGCACTTCCAGGACATTTGATCGAAACGTGTCGAGCGGCCGTGCAGGTCAATGGTGGCGACGCCCAAAACTCTCCGTTTTAAAGGGACCCGAGTCGTTGCCAAAAAATGAGATCATTATCTGCAACCTTTGAGGAACACCTTTAAACGTGTGTGTGTGTGTGTGTGTGTGTGTGTGTGTGTGTGTGTGTGTGTGTGTGTGTGTGTGTGTGTGTGTGTGTGTGTGTGTGTGTGTGTGTGCGTGTGTGCGTGCGTGCGTGCGTGTGTGTGTGTGTGCAATAAGCATGCAGCAGTTAGCTAAATAAAAATAAGAACAAACATCTTCCACTACTCTAGCTAAAGCGTCCGTCTATTATTGGAGAAGGTTGGTTTTGGTCAGCTCATTTTATAAAAGAACAAGTCAAATCTTGCAGAAGAGCTCAAACACGGATCTGATGATGTTGCAGGAAGCTGAGGGACTCGACTGAAGTCTTGGCTTTCTGTGACCCTATAAATATTTCCACATTACTGTCAGACTCTTACAACATCTTTGAATCGATTATTAAAGCTAATTCCTGTTCCAGCTTCACTTTTCCGTGACTCTGTTCAACTGTCTTGATGAATTGTCCCTGAGATGCTGCAGCTATTTCTAAATGCTGTGAAGAAAAAAAGTAACATTTCTACTTACATTTATGAGACGTAAAGACACTTTTAGTTTAAATGTATAAATGATTAATTATGCTCATTATTTCCATGAATGTGCTGTGGTCCCGAGTGTGAATTAATGTCTTATGAGTCGTTCTCTGTGTGGAATAAAATCTCTCGCGCTCCTGTTTCAGGAAGCTCTTCGTTCGCTCATTCTTGGGTAAAAAAAATGCAACTTTTATGTTTTATCTCTACAAATAACACAAGCCTGAATGAGATGTGCCGTGTTGTGGAGTTGCTAATGCTAATGGTTAGCTTCTATTAGCCAAGAAGCACTCTGCTGTCTCTTGGCTGTTTAATCCACACCGTCTTTCGCCTGCCACAATCCATGGTGGATGACACAGACGGGTCTGTCTTTTTCTGACATGAGTGTTAAGCACATACTGGACAGCATTAGGACTAATCAGAGCGACCAATGATGTGACGCATTCATCGCTACGCAAATCGGTCAACGGGGAAGTTTGCCACTCACCGTCATAGAAGAAAAAGCAAGTTAAAATCCCATAGTCATCAACACACACTGGTGAAATGACATCTCTGCATTTCACCCACCCCTGTGGTGAGCTGTGGCTGCGCTCAGGAACCATTTGGCCATTTTTGTTTTAGCTTTTTTCTCTGCAGCTCTGATTCAAAGCCCGCCTAACATTTGTCTACAAACATTGAGCGCTGTGATTGGCTCATCTCTCAAATTGTTTGGTCCAATGGACCTGCTGAGGCCACAAAGGAGGATGGCTAGACCAACCTGGTCTAAGTTTGTCTGGCCTAGAGTGACGGCACATGATGCAATAGACCCTTTTACTACCTACGTCATCAAAAGTTGCGCGTGCAGCCTGGCAACGAGAGTGAAGGCTTCCTCATTCACACTCGATACTAAAACAGCGTTTTAAACCCTTTGTTTTGAAGTTCTGAGCACATAAAAATGTCGGGTTGTTGCGTGTATGGATGCCAGAATCGCTTCTCTTTAAGCAGTGGACTGAAACTTTACAGAATTCCGAAGGGAGCACATCCATTTCAACAAAATCGGAGGCGTCTGTGGCTGCAGGCCATCAAAAGGGTAACTGCAGCCTTTTCTGTTTTTCCCATCCTAACACAAAGCTCAACTTTGAATAAAATTGCTGCTGCGTGGCTGCAGCATGACCCAAGTCTGGAACATCAAAATGACAGAATTAAACAAATGTATACGCTTTATTTCATGCTTCAAATTAACATTTCATTCTAATTCATCTGTATTTTCCCACTGCATATTAGTGTAAACTGTATTTCTCTAAAATTAACACGATTGTACTCTGAGCACGCTAAAAAAAGAAACCTATGCTATACTCACTCTGCCATGCAGGTACAGTTGGCTGTGAAGACATAGTTCTCTGGTTTGTTTACTATGACCCAAGCCTCGTACATAGCAGTCTTGTGTCCTTGTCTTTGGCTAGGAAGGACTTCTGCCTTCAAGATGCAAAACTCAGAGTTTATGTGGTGATATTTTACTTTCTGTACGTGGCCACAGACAACATAGTTGTATGCATCTAACGATTTGTATGCCCCTAGCTTCTCACGTGTGTACTTACTGGGCCTCTCCACTAAAAACGTATATATATCGGGCCACTGGATATCTGGCCACGCACCTACATCTTCCACCCATTCCGTAATGCCACAGGGATCCGGGAGTCTGTTGCCATTCGTTAAAGTGACTTTAATAATATAACGTTCAAGATTTGCCGGTGATAACCCCGCAGCGTAGCTTGGTAAAGCCTGACACAACGCCATTCTCTGTTGCCAAGCTGCGCGCGCATTCTCGCTGACGTCATATTGTTTACAAACAGTAAAAGGGTCTATAAACCGTTTGATGGAAGGCGTGGATATCTCATCTCTGGAAATGTGTTTACAAATTAGATCTGAGTGATTCCTGTGGGACTGAAGCTTCGTCGTTCATCTCTTCCCTCTCACCTCACCTACCTTAGTGATGGGGTGTTTTATGAAGAACTGTTGCTTTTTCAGCAGCATCCTCTCGTGTCTCCCACAGTCCAAGCCGCTGATCCCACTCCAGAAAGAGGAGGATCCAGAGACTTCCAAGGTGGTTCTAACCAACTACATGTTCCCTCAGCAGACCAGGGCCGAGGACTGTGAGTTCACTACGAGACTTGTTTTCTCTTCTACATTTGTTCGTGTTTTGACTGATTAAGGATCACTTATGTTGAAGGCTGCAGCATCAGCATCACCGAGCGAATTAATTCAGGTTTCAGTTAAAAGGACTTGGTTTTGGTGTTTTAAAGCTTTTCCAGGACTGAAGTTACCACGTTTGTTAGCACAAGCTTATAGGTGACCTACAAGAATCCCTAACTGCATCTTTAATGAGAGACTTTGTCACCCGAAGCTGCAGAAGAAACCCAAGTCTCCATCTTGTTGTCAGGCTCCCAGCTGTTACTTTGCTTTGGGTTTCCATTACACCGGCCGGTTTGCACTGATCCTGTTGCACCTGAGCTCTGCAGTAATTAGGTTCAGGATCTGAATGTTTGAGCTCAAGAACGAGTCTGTCACACCACCACTGAAGCTTTTATCTGTGAAGAAATCTGCTCAACTTCCTGTCAACAATGTCCTCTTATTATTATTCTTGTTTTTAACAATTGTAGCATTTATTTTTCATGCTGCATGGCTTTGGGTTTTTGTTTTCAAACTTGCTGCAATGAAGAGATGATCCCAATATCCTCCATAGGTTTGTTTTCTGGTAGCAAGAGCGAAGCTGAGATGAGAAATCGGATCTTGTGCAGAAGTGCGTAAATGTTGCTAAATGGAGGCTTTTAACACAGGAAACCACACGCTGTCTCTAAAGGATACGAGACACCTGAGAGAGCCTGTTTGTGCACGCCAGGGTCACACCATAACTGATGATTTTGGAAGCCCTTTCTTAATAACGGCGGCCTTGCAGCTTGGTTATTTTATTTATTAGCTTTGCTGTATTTTCTCCTCCAGGTTCTGTCAAGGCTTTTAAATTTTCTCTAACCTGTTTATCGCCACCTGGTGGCCAATGTGAGGCTGAAAGAAACTGAATGCCTAGTTTTTGGATGGTCTGGAACTGTAATGAGTTCAACAATGGGTTATATTATTGTCTGGTTTTAGTCATTCCTCGCTCCGACTCTGAAAGTTTCAATCCAGCTCTTTGGGAGGAGCAGCGGAAGCAGCGAGCTCAGGTGGCCTTCGATTGTGACGAGGACAAGGATGAGAGGGAAACGCCCCCAAAGGTCAGTGACGCACATGTTACCGTTTGTGTTGTATGTTAAATGTCGCCCTAATAATGAGGTCAAACAGAAGGAGAGAATTAAAATTAAGAAGATGGATTGGTTACAGAATGACAGAAGAAAGTCAAAATAATTGGCGTGATGTACAGATTATGTTCAATATTAAAATAAATGTAAAAATAGCTGAAACAAGGCAGATGAATGTATTTAGGTAAGAATACGAGCAGCAGCGCTAACAGACTACAAGCATTGAGTTTTAAATCCAGGAAGGTTTTTCTTTTATTAAACCGATAACTCAAACAAAAGGATTACCGGGGATGTGTTTTAGCTTCTCAAAAAGGAAGTGGGTGCAACGCTGATGGTGTACTCCCAGTCTGTCTCCAGAGTAACTCGTTGTTTAGTCACGGCTGAAAAGAAACAGAAAGTTGCTTCACAGGTTGAGCAGGTTGAAGGGTGTGTGGGGTAATGCCGGGGGGGGGGGTTGTTGATGGTCATACAAATGGGTCTTAAGTTACTAATTGTTTACCAGCACAAATGGAACTCCCTCCCTCCCCCATAATGCATTTGTAGCAAGATATCGTCACACCAGTTAGAGTGACTACAGCTCAGACCGGCTCAGCAGCAGCTCTTTCCTCTAAACAGTCCCAGTACCGCGGACGTCTGTTTCCCAGCTTTTAACCAACAAAATTACAATAGAAGAGACATCAAATATTAATGTTTTTACTATACAGATGTCGATTTAAAACTAGATAACTCAATTCTATATTTTTATGTCTATTATTTTACATAAAATAGAATAAAAACATTTTACTGGGAAGGACCCTAAATTTGGGCTATTAAAGTAGAAATCTGGAGTTTTTCCTCCAATGGTGGAAAGATGTATTACACCTTAAGCCGTTCAACCCCCTTCCATATTTAGAAACACCTCTTACATGAACACTTCTAGTTGGCCTTCTAAATATTTACACTTTGTATTGTGAGCCCAAGGACCGAAAACCCATAGATGACAAGCGAACTTGTGGTCTAGTCAGTGAGTTGCTGGTAGATGAACGGAGAGTGCGCGATGAGGTATAAGGTAGAAGAATGTTTGTTAGGTAGAGGGGTGCACGTTTATTTAGAGCTTTTAATGTTAAGAGAATTTTAAATTGGATATGAGAATCAACTGAGAGCCAATGCAACTCAGGGTGAACCGGTGCATTATGTTGAGAAAGCGGAGTCTTGGTGATAACAAGTCGCTGAGTTTTTCACCAGCTGTAGTTTATGCAGGAGTTTCTGAGAGATACCAGAAAGAGAGAGCTGCAGTAGTCAAGACGGGATGTGGCTAATGCATTAACTAAATTTTGGCATCGGTCTGAGTAAGAAATGGTCGTAGCCGACTGATAATGCGCAGTTGCTAAACAAACAACAGTTTTGACGTGAGCTGTGAAGTCAAATTACTATCCAAGATGACACCCAGACTTTTAACCTGTGAAGGAGATGGGATGTTATTGTCAAATAGAAAAGAGGGGAAAACTGAGTTAGTAATCTATAGATTTAGTTCCGACAAGAAGAATATCTGTCTTGTTGCTATTTAGTTTTAAAATATTATGAGAAAACCAGGTTTTTATCTCATTCAGATAGTTGGCCAGTGAAGTAATGGACAGACATTTGGGGAGGAAGATAGATATAGCTGGATGTCATCAGCATAACAGTGGAAAGTGATGTTATGTTATGATTCCTAAGAATATCCCCAAGAGGGAGAATGTAAATAATAAACAGAGGGCCCAGGACAGAGCCTTGTGGGACCCCGCTGGAGACAGATGTGGAGCGTGAGTTAGGCGACTTAATTTTAACAAAGTGCGAACGGTCCGATAAATATGAGGTGAACAAAGATGAAGCGACACCGCGGACTCCTATAAAAAGACGCTGTAGAAGAATTAAATGAGAAATGGTATGGAATGCAGCTCATAAATCAAGAAGAATTAATAAACTAATTATTATATTTTCACCATTCCAGTTTCAGCGCTATGATTTCTCTCCTGATTGCAGCTTTAAAAGGAAGCAGAAACTTCTCCATTCAGAAGTAGAGATGTAGTTGTTGGCCCCAAATCAAGGTGATGTCACTGTAGTGTCTGTAAAATGTTTATATAATGAGTCAGACCTATTCATAAGAAAACTAAAGCTGTCAGTAAGGTGTTTGGGGAAAAGGCTGGAAGATCGAGTTGTGGCAGGTTTATGACCCAGATGGGGTCCTGACTTTGGCTCTGGACCGAATTCTGTTTGTTCAGTAAGGCCACAGGTTTGTACTCAGAAGCACATTTAACGGTGATGGAGGAAGCAGAAGTCTAGTCATCCAGGCAGCAGATTTCTGAGCGTTGTTCTTTTCCAGGAGGGAAACCTGAAACGTTACCCAACCCCTTACCCGGACGAGCTGAAGAACATGGTGAAGACGGCTCAGTCGGTGGCTAACAGGCTCAAGGACGATGAAACGAGCGACGAGTCAGGAAAAGAGTCCAAACCCGAGAGGAACCACATTGGAGTGCAGGATGTTGGACTTAAGGTCAGCTTTAGCTAAAGGAAATACAGATTCTTGTCTTTGTTTGCTTTTTTTAAGGTATGAAAATGAGCCGTCTTTTAAAACGGTCCTTGCTGCACACGGATGGAATCGGCTTCTGTATGACCTCAAAAGTGCCCCAACTCTAGTAGCTTTTAAATCCAAATTTAAATGTTTCAATCAGCCTTTGAATGAATGTTTCTTATTGCTCACCCTTTAGCTTTTTTTTTATTTTTAAATTGAATTTTCTGTCATGTTGGTTTTAATGTTCCAGCTTTTTTTTTTTTGCTTATGGAAAGCACATTGAGTTGTCTCTGTGTATGAAATGTGCTGTATAAGTAAAGCTGCCATGCCCTGGTCTGTTTTTGTTCAGGTGATAGAGGCTCCCTTTCCCAACGGCGTGCCGTCTGGCATCGAGCCTCCGGTGTCCTCCAACACAGGTGCCCAGACTCACTCTGTAGCTGCATCAAAAGACACCTCTGAGTCTTTCAGCTCTCAGAAAATTCCACTCAGATCTTCAGAAGCTTCCATGATGAACCACGAGGACACTCTAGAGGTTGTCAGAAGTGAACTTCTAATTTCTCATACAAGGAAAACCGATTTTTAATTCTAAGATTCTCTTAAGAATATCAACTTTTTAGCAAGAATACTGTCTGGTTTTCAGGACCCCGAGGAGCTCTCAGATGAAGAGGAGATGAAGATAGCAGAGATGAGGCCACCTCTTATTGAGATCTCTATCAATCAGCCTAAAGTAGTGACTTTAAGTAAGGATAAAAAAGGTAACGTTCCATCTTAAGGGATTGTCCTGAGAGATTTTATGTAAGAAACAAGTGGAAGTCTTGATTTTGTGAATTTAACCGGAATGTTTCTCACTGCCAGATGATGGGAAGGATGCTGACTCTTTGCTGGATGACACGGTTGCTAACAGCAACCAGAACAACAGTAACTGTTCATCACCGTCGCGCATGTCCGACTCTGTGTCTCTGACCACCGACAGCAGTCAGGACAACTCTTTGTGCACACCTGAGAGAGAGGCCAAGATTCCTTTCCTTCCCAAAAGCCGGTTAGTAGAATTCTTCTCAACATCAGAAGTGGAGCAGAAATCCATTGACTGGGTTTTAAAATGTCTCCTTGTTGTAAATCATCTGTTTCCAGGCAGGAGGACGAGAACATGAACCAGCCTAAAGACACCAGCCCCCTCCTCCATAATGGTAACGGCTCTGAAACGTCTCTCCAGGCCCTTTTGAAAAGCCAGCAGACGCCTCCGGACTACGACCTGTCCATGGAAGCCAAGCTGGCTTTCATCGAGAAAGGCCTGAACAACGGGATGGGGGACCCCTACACCAAGTGGGACCAGATCAACATGAATGTGACCAAGCTGCCCGCTTATAACGCAGTTCAGGTGGACGGCACTCGGGAGGGTTTAAACACCAAGCAGGGTCACGGCAACGACAACACTGATCACTTCCAGAATGGGAATCAGCAGGAAGGCGTGGGAGAAGAGCCGTCAGCTGTGTACGCTGCTTCGCCAGGCATGAGCGGCAGCAGCGACATGTCTCTGTCTCGCAGCACCGAGGAGCTGTCTCCAGAAAAAAGGTCTCATCCGTCACAGGTCACGAAAGCTCACAGCGTTGGCAACATGGAGACGGGGGGCATGAAGCTGTACTCGTTTGACGGGGATGATGATTCTTACGAAGCGGCGTCAAAGACTAGAATGACGGGGGCTGGACCGGGCCCAGGTGCTCAGGGTCAGATCATCGTTAGATGCAAGTCAGCAGGTCAGCTACTCAGTGAGCAGAACCTCCTGGTCTACCCGGGATCCTTTACCTCCTCCTCAGAGTTGCCGTCTTCCTCTAAGCCCGGTGCAGGCACAAGCAGATATCCAGCCTCCACCGGCGTGGGAGGACCCCCCCCTCAGTACAACATCCAGTACACAAGCGGCAGTGCCGTGCCTAAAGATGCCCTCTGGGCCCAGAGGACCGGCGCTCCACCAGAGCACCAAGGCTACCTCCTTCCTCATCCACACTCCCTCGCCAACACCAACTACTCCAACCGTAATCAGGCGCCTCCTTATCCTCTGCAGCCCCAGCCAAGGGCTGCTGCCATGCCTCCCAAAACGGACTGGGCCATGGAGAGACTTCATTCCACAGGCGGGCAAACAAGAAGTAGCACTCTGCAGCGGCAAAGCAGCAGCTCCTCCTCGGTGACCACGAGCGACACGCGGCGCATCCAGTTACCTGAGGGGGAGTACATGACATACCGGGACATTCACACGCTTGCCAGGGGGCCGCTGGCGATGAGCCAGGCTGCACAGAGGCCCCTCTCTGCTCGCACTTACAGCATCGACGTGCCTGGAGCTTCCAGGCCTGTCGGAACCAGGCCACAGCCCCATGAGCTTCCAGAACGGACCATGTCTGTCAGTGATTTCAACTACCAGCACAGCAGCCCCGGCAAGCGGCCCAATGCAAGGTTCAAGTCTGAGCACTCTCTTCTGGACGGGCCAGGACCTGTACCGGGAGGGGGCGGGTCTGGGAGGGTGCCGGCTGACTGGAGAGACCAGGTGTTGCGGCACATCGAGGCCAAGAAAATGGAAAAGGTAAAAGATAAAAACATCAGTTTGATAAAAATGTTCTGATGTTTACCAGATGCTTTCTTAAACCCGAGTCAGGGTCGTTGTGCTGGCTTGTGTTACAACCTTTCAAAAGGGACTGTGGAAGTGTGGCCGTTTAAAACCCAACAAACCGGACTTCCAGCATCATTTGTCCAAAAATGAAAGTGTTTTTGAATCACACATAAAAATAAAACCTTTAATTTTTTTATATTGTCTCTAATCAAAAATATAAAAAACAATTTAATTTTAATATTTCATTCACGTGGACAGGTGATGGTTAACGGACTCGAGCTGCATTTTTGCCTCCTGCAGACAGAACGTTGGTTACATATTGTAACCCCAGATTCCATGAGTCTAGTCGCAGCCCTTAAGCTAGCTGCTATTGGAGGGATGATCTCAGCATCAGCCAATCATGAAGATCTTAAATGTACGCCCACCAATGGTGGGCACCCCTTGTGGGCGCTCCACTGTTCGCCTCCGATGGCTCTTGATCGTAACAGAACCAGTGGGGCCATTGGCATAAGGGCTGCGACTAGACTCATAGAATCTGGGGTTACAATACGTAACCAACGTTCTATTTTGTCTAGTCTTAGCCCTTAAGCTAGCTGCTTTTGGAATAATGCGCAGCTGGATGGGTTTACGCCACACTGGTTAGCTCATCCAATGAACACACCCAACATGTCTCCTTTTAGCGAGGGTCGCTCAGCCTCAGCCCAGGGCTTAAAAGGCTGAGGCAGCCAGAGAGAAGAGTGGGGCCCCCACTAAAATATCATCCACAAGAGGATGATATTCATTCAAGTAGGGCTGATGTGGTGCCATAATGCTTTCACTCAGCCTGCTGAGGTCCAAGCACTGAACGAGTGATGGAACCTGAAGACACATCTCGTAAATAATAACGAGTAAAGGAACATGGGGAAGCCCATGAAGCAGCCTGACAAATGTCTTCCATCGACACACCACTGTGGAGCGCCATAGAAGAGGAAATCCCTCTGGCTGAGTGAGCCCTGAGTGTTTCAGGAGGATCCCGCCCTGATGATGTGTAAGCGAGTGAAATGGCGTCACATAGCCAGTGTGAAAGACGCTGGGTCGACAGCGCTTGCCCAAGGGAAGAGTCTCTGTAGTGCACAAACAGGCTTTGTGAGCGGCAAATCCCTGAAGTGCCTGATACATATCGTGCGAGCACGCGCACCGGGCAGAGAAGGTGGGAAGCCGCCTCCTCATCAGAATTATGGGGGGGAGGAAAAAGTCCAGCCAATGAAACTGACCTGGATTTGAAGGAAGTATTAACGTTTTTGGGCACAAAGGCTGGGTTGGGGCATAAAACAGCAGACTCGCCATCTTCCCGGATCCTGAGGCATGCGGGAGCCACTGAGAGGGCAGTTAGGTCGCTCGCTGTCTTGACTGATGCCAGCGCTAGCAGCATGGCAGTTTTGAGTGACAGGAACTTGAGTGAGACCTGGTCCAAGGGTTCAAATGGGGCTTCAGATAAGCCGCGCAGAACCACCGTTAGGTCCCACTGGGGAAATAGCAGGCGTGACACAGGTCTGTTCCTTCTGACACCTTTTAGAAAACGTTTTGTGAGGGGATGATTGAAAACAGATCTATCTCCAAAACCCTGATGACAGGATGAGATAGCTGCAGCATATGTCTTAATAGTGCTGAATGCGAGGCCCCTGTCCATCAGTATCTGCAGAAACGATAAGACATTCGCCAGCTGGAAGGAGAGCACTTGAACATTCCGCTCTGTGCACCATTTTTAGAAAGCTGCCCATTTAGCAGCATTAGATGCGACGGTAGAAGGCGCCCGCGCACTCTGAATCGTGGCGACCACATCATGCGGCAGCCCAGAAGCCTCTAAGCGTGACCGCTCAGCGGCCAGACCCACAGCCGTTGGCCTATTTCTGGAGGATGTTTGATTTTCCCATCCGCCTGGAGAAGGGCATCCGCCCTCCACAGGAGCCTCCACGGAGAGCCAGACACTAGCGCTTGCAGGTCCGGAAACCATGAGATGCGACGGTAGAAGGCGCCCGCGCACTCTGAATCGTGGCGACCGCATCATGCGGCAGCCCAGAAGCCTCTAAGCGTGACCGCTCAGCGGCCAGACCCACAGCCGTTGGCCTATTTCTGGAGGATGTTTGATTATCCCATCCGCCTGGAGAAGGGCGTCCGCCCTCAGCAGGAGCCTCCACGGAGAGCCAGACACTAGCGCTTGCAGGTCCGGAAACCATGACGCGGACAAGCGTCTGGGAGCTACCAGAATTACCGAGAGCTGTTCTGACCGAACTCGGTCCAGGAGACGGGGAATCAGTGGGACTGACGGAAACGCATACAGGAGCGTTTGAGGCCAGGGCTGGTGCGAGAAGGCGTCCGCTCCGAGCGGGGGATGGTCCCGGGGACTCAGGGAAAACCACAGGCGACACTGTGCGTTTTCGTGAGCTGCGAACAGATCCACAGAGGGTTCCCCGAACCTCATCCAGATCTGTGATATCAGTGCGGGATGCAGACGCCAGTCGGAGTCGCGGCGTCCCCCTCTCGACAGGATGTCCGCTGCTACATTCCGGACCCCCGAAATGTAGGTGGCTTTGATGGACAGCAGGTGGACATGTTCCCAACACAGTAAATCTGTGGCTACACGCAATAGTGGGAGGGATCGAACTCCCCCTTGGCGATTTATGTAGGCTGCCGCCACCTGGTTGTCTGTGTGAACTTCGACATGACGGCTCTCGAGAAGGGCAGCGAAGTGTCTGATCACATTCCTCACTGTCATAAGCTCCAACACATTTATGTGCTCGTGCGTGTGGGAGGGCCAGCGATCTGCCACCGTATGGGACAAGCACGTGCCCCCCCATCCCAACAGTGACGCATCCGTAAACACAGATACGTGTGACGTAGGATGTCCGATGGGGACCCCGTGTGAGAGGATGCAGGGATTCCCCCAGTGAGCGAGGTCCCCGCCCACTGAAGGGAGAAACCTCAACATACGTTTCTTCTGACTTATCGGGTGTACCCGGAGGCAGATGAACCAACGCTGCAGGCGCCTCGTGTGCAGTAAACCTAGCGGCACCACAGCATGAGCTGCAGCCATCATGCCCAGAAGTTTCATGACTAACAGGGCTCTCACGATCTTGCGGGGTTGCACTCGGGAGATCACCGTGGTGAGATCTGCCACTCTCGCCGGAGACAAACGTGCTCTCAGTAGAGAGGCGTTCAGCTCCACCCCGAGAAACACAATCGACTGGGATGGAAGGATGGAGCTCTTCTCCCAGTTTATGGAAAACCCCAGGGTTGACAGATGCTCTATTAACTTCCTGGTTTGCTCTGACGCCTCGTCCTTGGACCGGGCGCATATGAGCAGATCGTCCAGGTAAAATAAAACCCTCATTCCCGCCGTGCGCAGTGGCTGCAGCGCGGTCTCCAGACATTTGGAGAAGGTGCGTGGGGCTAGCGAGTAGCCGAAAGGGAGACGATTGAACTGGTATTGAACTCCCTTGAATGAGAAGCACAGGAACTTCCGGTGCTTGGGAATTACTGGGATGTGGAAGTATGCGTCTTTCAGGTCTATTGACGTGAACCAGTCCCCGGAGTGCACGTATTCCAGGACTTGCCTCATTGTTAACATGCGGAAATGCATCACTGATATGGAGCAGTTGAACAGGGAAAGGGCGAGAATTGGTCTCATTCCTCCCGACTTCTTCGGTACTACGAAGTAGCGGGAGTAGAAGCCTGAGAGCTCTCGTCCGCGAGGGACTTGGGAAATTGTGTCCTTGGACAGAAGTTCCCGCAGCTCTAGCTCCAGGGCCTGAGATTGTACCTGTGACGTGAACGTCGTCTCCACGATCCCGTTGAAGGGAGGAGGAGCGGACTGAAGTGTGTGACCGTAATGAATGGTGTCCAATATCCATTTGATCATGAGGCGCCATTCTTGCGCGCGTTCCGACAGCGGACGCGTGTTCGAGGTCACGTGAACGACGTCTGAGGACTGGGTTCATGCCCTTACCGCCGTCGCTCGCACCAGAGAACTGGGAGTGACCCATGTAGGGCTGTGCTCGAAAGGGTGAGTGTGAACAGCTGGAAGAGGCTGATCCGCACCGCGGAGCGTGGAGTCCAAGGATGAAGGACGAGTGGGAGCCAGGCCCATGCACGTGGACGATAAAGTGCCAGCGGATGGAGCCGCGCACCGTGTCGCCGCGCGTGGTCACGACAGCGCCATGACATCCCGTCACACCCAGTGTTGTGGGGGAAGCGGGATGAGTTGTGCCTGGCCGGAGGCTGGGGCCGGTGCGCAAATGGAGCGCACCTTTACAGCTGGCCGTGTAATATGGCGGACTGCGCGAACATGCAGATGTGTCGCAGTGCTTGGTGTGGGGAACATGTGTGAGGATTCGGCAGAGGGTTCTGCAGAGGACTGTAGGATTGTGCTCTCAATGTGACATTTTTTGGGTTTTATTTCAAAACCCTAATCATTCACAGAGTTAACATTACAGTCATAAGCACATAAGCACACACATTCCTCCCAACGAGTCCTTTTCGTGGTTGTTTTTGGCGAGGTTCCTGCGCCTGTGACTGCCAAGACGGCGTCTGCTGGCTCTTTCGGAACCGTCGGCCGCCAACTCCCTGGTCCCGCTTCGGCTCCACCTCAGCGGGAGGCCGGCTCCACGGGGTGGGTGGTGCAGCTGGGCGCCTGAAGTTTCCGTGCCGTTCGTCCCATCCTCTGGAGGAACGGCCAGAGTGTGAGGCTGACCGAGGGTGGACCAGGTCTCGCACCGTGGCTGACAGTTCAGCTGCCTTCAGAGTCCTCTCGATGACGCTCGTAAGATGGGGACCAAACAGAACGTCAGAGGTGATGGGGCCTTCCAGCATCTCCTTGTGCAGGTGATCAGGAATGGAGGGCAGGGCCTTGAGCCGCAAGGCCCGCTGGATAAGGGTCTGCCAGGCAGCAATGCGAGCAGAACCGGTGAGTACAGCAGCGAACAGATTGAGAATGGCACCAGCAGTTTTGGTAATGATGGTTTTTGACTCGTCAGGAACATCAAGCTCTTCCACCATTTTGGACACGCCAAAGGCAAGAAGGGCGATGTTATTTCCTGCAGCGCCGGTCTTGAAGGCGCACTGGTGTGCATGATCGGTCAGCCGCGTCAGCAGATGGTCATGCTTAGAAGCGGGAACTGCTCGCGGGCCAGCGAGGTGGTTCTTGGCGCCACACAGCGAGGCCAAGTTCGGCTCCAGTGGGGGAATGGATGGCCAGCCCAGGTCGGAGAAGCCTTCGACCGTGGTAATGGGCGTATATGTGGAAATTGGCGCCTTAAGCCTAGCAGGCTCGGAGAAGGCGGCGGTCCAGCAGCTCATGGCAGCGGGGAAACGCGGCCAGACGAGGTCTGGACAGCGCGTCTGTGTTGACCCGAAAATTCCTGCCAAATCATCTGCCTCAGGCGGAGCCGGTTCTGGAACGGCTAGCCCCTTGCGGACCGCGGCCGCGGAGATGATGGCGAGCAGCTCCTGGAGCAGTGCTCTAACTGCTGGCTGGGAGGAGCTAGAAGCCTCTGGGGCAGGAAGACCCGCTGAGCGAGGCTTGTCGACCTCCGTGTTGTACAGGAGGGAAAGAGGGCTATGGCAGCCAGCCTCGTCGTACTCCTCACGAGGCACGTCGACCTTTGTGTTGTACAGGAGGGAAAAAGGGCTATGGCAGCCAGCCTCATCGTACTCCTCACGAGGCCCGTCGACCTCCGTGTTGTACAGGAGGGAAAAAGGGCTATGGCAGCCAGCCTCGTCGTACTCCTCACTGTCGATGACATCGTCCAGTCGGTAGGAGCCAGCCGGCTCCTGGCTGACGTTGAAGAACTGTAAGACCTTGTCCAGCGAGTATGTGTTAGCCACCAGAAATTCCTCAACGGCGGCGGGGGTGATGTACTCGACCCGGCGGATCTTTTCAGCCACGGGCAGAGCAGCACAAAACAGGCACGAGGCCTGGAGGGTCAAGGCCAGGCCAGCGTGATGAGCCCCGAGACAGACCTCACATTTGACGTGCAGGTCGCCGCTGGAGATGGAGCCCGTCTGGCAGGCCAGGCAGGTCCTGGCGTCACTGGACATGGCTGGTGAGTTGAATGTTGTTTTTAGATAATTTGCTCTTTAAAGAAAGCTCTTAAGCTTGGCTTGAAGAGATAACGGAGGCAAACAGTGGAGTTGCTCCACTTATATACCCACAAGGGGTGCCCACCATTGGTGGGCGTACATTTAAGCTCTTCATGATTGGCTGATGCTGAGATCATCCTTCCAATAGCAGCTAGCTTAAGGGCTAAGACTAGACGAAATAGAACTTTGAGTAACAGAGTCATTTACTTGCACCAGGTTTATTGAGCCTTAAAGCTGTAACAACAAATCTGCCAAAACGCACACTTTTCCCCCCAGACATGAAAAAAATGTTTTAAGCTAACTTGCTGTTGCAGCTTTTTGAATGGAGTTAACACAGACCTGACAATCCTCTTGTTAGGGAAACACTCTCAGCTTTTGAAATGATCACATATGATACACGTGTGATGTTTTCACCCACAAGCAACGTCACTCATTAAGCTTTTCACTGAAGTAAAACCCAACTTTTGCTCTAATGAGCTGGAATGGAGACACGGGCGATTGGATCCGTGCATTCTGTCCGGTTTACACTTTCTGCTGGGGATGAACTGCACCAGCACCACCATGTTGTATTTCTGATCCTAGACTAACATAGAAAATGTGAAAAAGTAAGACCAATATAGTTTGATTTTGTTTATTTTTTTCCCAATTCAGAAAAAGTCACTTTTAAAATTTTGGGTTTTTAATTGAAAATGGAAAGATTGAATAACACACATTTTTTACATCTACAAATACAAACATTTTAAAACCAGGACAATAAAGAACATCTACCTGCTAAAATGTCCTCTCCAGAAAGCGTATTTATACAGTGGGGCAAAAAAGTATTTAGTCAGCCACCGATTGTGCAAGTTATTCCACTTAAAATGATGACAGAGGTCAGTAATTTACATCATAGGTACACTTCAACTGTGAGACAGAATGTGAAAAAAAAATCCATGAATTCACATGGCAGGATTTTTAAAGAAATTATTTGTAAATCAGGGTGGAAAATAAGTATTTGGTCAATAACAAAAATTCAACTCAATACTTTGTAACATAACCTTTGTTGGCAATAACAGAGGTCAAACGATTACTATAGGTCTTTACCAGGTTTGCACACACAGTAGCTGGTATTTTGGCCCATTCCTCCATGCAGATCTTCTCGAGAGCAGTGATGTTTTGGGGCTGTCGCCGAGCAACACGGACTTTCAACTCCCTCCACAGATTTTCTATGGGGTTGAGGTCTGGAGACTGGCTAGGCCACTCCCGGACTTTCAAATGCTTCTTACGGAGCCACTCCTTTGTTGCCCGGGCGGTGTGTTTGGGATCATTGTCGTGTTGGAAGACCCAGCCACGTTTCATCTTCAAAGCTCTCACTGATGGAAGGAGGTTTTGGCTCAGAATCTCACGATACATGGCCCCATTCATTCTGTCCTTAACACGGATCAGTCGTCCTGTCCCCTTAGCAGAAAAACAGCCCCAAAGCATGATGTTCCCACCCCCATGCTTCACAGTAGGTATGGTGTTCTTGGGATGCAACTCGGTATTCTTCCTCCTCCAAACACGACGAGTTGAGTTTATACCAAAAAGTTCTACTTTGGTTTCATCTGACCACATGACATTCTCCCAATCCTCTGCTGTATCATCCATGTGCTCTCTGGCAAACTTCAGACGGGCCTGGACATGCACTGGCTTCAGCAGCGAAACACATCTGGCACTGCAGGATTTGATTCCCTGCCGTTGTAGTGTGTTACTGATGGTGACCTTTGTTACTGTGGTCCCAGCTCTCTGCAGGTCCCCGCGTGTGGTTCTGGGATTCTTGCTCACCGTTCTCATGATCATTTTGACCCCACGGGATGAGATCTTGCGCGGAGCCCCAGATCGAGGGAGATTATCAGTGGTCTTGTATGTCTTCCATTTTCTGATAATTGCTCCCACAGTTGATTTTTTCACACCAAGCTGCTTGCCTATTGTAGATTCACTCTTCCCAGTCTGGTGCAGGTCTACAATTCTTTTCCTGGTGTCTTTCGAAAGCTCATTGGTCTTGGCCATTGTGGAGTTTGGAGTCTGACTGTTTGAGCCTGTGGACAGGTGTCTTTTATACAGATAATGAGTTCAAACAGGTGCCATTAATACAGGTAACGAGTGGAGGACAGAAAAGCTTCTTAAAGAAGACGTTACAGGTCTGTGAGAGCCAGAGATTTTCCTTGTTTGAAGTGACCAAATACTTATTTTCCACCCTGATTTACAAATAAATTCTTTAAAAATCCTGCCATGTGAATTCATGGATTTTTTTTTCACATTCTGGCTCTCACAGTTGAAGTGTACCTATGATGTAAATTACTGACCTCTGTCATCATTTTAAGTGGGAGAACTTGCACAATCGGTGGCTGACTAAATACTTTTTTGCCCCACTGTATTTGTGTGTAATGTAAAAATAAAGGGTTTTCTGATTGATTTGTTGAGCTGTCCCGTTACTAAATGTATTATTTTAGTCCACTAACCGTTGTGTGTATAGAGCTCCTCTGATTCACTGCATGTTGGGTCAGTATTTGCTGCAAATGCTTTGTTTGTGTCTTTTTATGTCTGTCACTCATTTGGTGGGTTGCATGGCCACCTCTGACATGTCGGCCGTGTCGTCAGAATGCGCTCTCTCGCTCCTATCATTTCAATACTTCCCCACTGGGCTGGTCCCACTACGGCAGCTGTAAGGATATGCATGCCAGCCAAGGGGCCCTGGGGTTTAGTGGCAGGGACGGACGGCCCTACGGAGCCCTGAGCTTCTGCGTGAGTACTGTGAAACCGTAGTTAGCTGCTGCAGCCCCTACTGAACCAGGGTTTCCTGACAGTTTCACATCACTTTGAAACTAAGAACAGATGTCTGTTTCCTTGTTTCTCCCCCGACACTGAGAAGTGATTAAACCCACAAGAGCTGTCTGTAACTTGTGCTTTTATAGAGAAATGAGTTTCTCAACACTTGATTTCCCATCACTAAAGAAAGTTTTGTCCTTGATTTCAGTGTAAAACTACACTGAGATGTTTAGAAGGAGCTGTTTACCTTCAGTGGTTCAATCACAGAAAGAATCCAGCTGGAAACAAAGTTTTCTAAAACTTCTAACGCTTTTTTATTTTTTTTTATTTTTTTTATTTTCTGTCCATTGGCAGAAGATCACGGGCCTCATTTATTAAACGTTGCGTGGAATCCTTACTAAAACTATTCAGGCTCAGCAAAACTTTACTTTCATAAAGTAATTTTCCGACCTATACAACACTGCTTACACACAGCAGCACACGATTCCTGCCTTATAAATCAAACCCATCCTAGAAATGTGCTCAGGTGTTTTTGGATGTCACCCCGCCTCCTGCCTACCCATTTCCTTCCATGGTCATGGCAAAGCACTTACTTTGCACAAAACCAAGCTGGTTGATGTCTAGAAAACACAATTTCACTTGGATTAAGACCAAGGTTATTTTGGGTGAAGCACAGAAAAGAAGACTTTTATTTTGGGGTAAAAATCAAATAAACAGAAGGCCGTGTGGTGGCACAGCATTGTTGCAGCAGTGGATGAGAGATCTGTGACTCATCTGTTGTGGAGCTGCACAAGTGTCACTGCAGCATTTATATGTCAGAGTCTAATAATACATCAATCTACAGCGATACATTGATCATATGGTCAACATAGATAGATCGATCATGTGACCAGCATCGATACATCAAATATATGGTCAACACTGATTAAATGGACAACATCAATTAGATCAGTGGTTCCTAACCTGGGGGTCCCGACCCCCACAAGGGGGCGTCAAAGCCTCTCAGTGGGTCGCCAGGACCTCTCCACTTTACGGGGTTAAAACTTCATTTATTACTTTTTATAGCCTACATTTTGATCACTATTTTTTTCATGAGTGAAAAGTTTACTGGTATTAAGACAGGAAATAATTAGTACAGAAAAAGTAACACACTTTTAAGAACATTTTGCTCAGCTCACTGTTTTAATTTTAAGTGTAAAAAGTTCATTAAAGATAGGACTGGTTGATTAATCACAGCCTTTACAGTAAATAATCTAGTATAAACGGTAATATACACATTTAAGTACATTTTGCTCAGTGTATTTTTTATGTGTCAAACGTTTATTGAAAGGAATGATTGATTTATCAGTGTTTACAAGAAACAATGTGTTCAGAAAAGTAATACAAACTGGCAAGCACATTATGCTCTGTTTGGTTTTGTTAATGACGTTGTTCTGTACTGGAGCCTACTATTATTGTTATCTATTGAATCAAAGCATATTAAAATGTGCTTGAACAGTTTTATCATTTCTTAATACTGTTTGTACTGGAAGAGAGAATGGGAGGGGGTTGTCAAAAATTTTACTGGTAAAAATGGGGTCCCTTGGGAAAAAGGTTGGGAAGCACTGAATTAGATAATCAGTTACCAGCTCAGTGGCCTAGTGGTGGTGTGTCCCCCAGGGACCGGGAGATCGGGTCATACCAGAGGCTTTAAAAATGGGACCCAGTGCCTTCCTGTTTGACACTCCTCTTTAAGGAGTTGGATTGGGGGGTTAATCCACCCAATAGTTCCTGAACACAGCCACTGCTTTAGCTTACCACTCACCACGGGGATGGGTCAAATGGGGAGATGATTTTCCCCAGTTTGTGGTGATTAAGGGGACTTTAACTTTATATTAGGGATTCACCGATATGAAGTTTTTGGGACGACATCGATATCCGATGTTAATATCACTGTTAAGGTCGATAACCGATATTTGCCGATAACAGTTAACGCTTCAGAAATCAGCTAATTTTGTAAAGACTGAAATTGTGCAAGTTGAATTTTTGAATGTTTTGCTATTTTTCTATAAAGTGGAATTTGCTATCTGTTATTTACACATACACATTTATGCTTCTGAGATGATTACCATCACTGTCACGGGACTAAACAATTACACATCATCACCCCCTTACCCTCTGAAACAGATATACAAACGGAAACAAGATGGAAAGAAATACTGGTTGTTAATATCGGCCCATTTTTTCGTATCGGACCGATACCAGTATGTTAAAAAATCACTAATATTGGCCGATATTGATACTGAAGCCGATATATCATGCATCCCTACTTTATATCGTCGACCATGGTTTGGTCAAATATACGATCATCAATCCAAAATACAAAAATCGGTAGAATAGCGTTATGAAACTAACTTTTATTTTGTGAACTGACTCATGCAGGAACAGGTGGAAAATGACAACAATCCAGTACTCTTCACATCACCAAACATGGTGAATGAGGAAGCTAGTGGCGTCATGGCGAGCTGTAAGAAACAATGAAGAAATCTTCTCTCCCATGGGACATTGTTGTTTTCAATATCTTAATATTGTTTTACATCTACTGGTGGATCATAAATCAAATCAAAACAATCAGAAATGGCGTGTGTGTGCAGCGGTCTACAAGTCTGAAAAGGTGGCTTAAATTCACCATCTTACTGGTGGCGCTGCCAAATTTCCTGTCTCCCAAAATGTGCGTGTGCCAAGTTCAGAGTTTGCATAAAGTTATGAACGTTTTCCCGTCAAGTTTTTTATAAGTCAGTGTGGATAAGCAAGCTTTATAAATGAGGCACCAGATCTAGAACCATGTGACCAAACAGCCCTTCTAAAGCTCTTAACCATCATAACCAATTTCCTCCTGTTCTTCACCATCTCACCCCTCTGTTCCTCCTGTGATTGTGATGGATCTCTGAAATATTCTGCTTCCTCTCTTAACTGCATGCTCAAAGCACATTTTGCTCGTTCATCATCGTCCGATCCCCTCAGACTTCCTCCATAACCTCTGAGTTTGTGTGTTGGTGAAAGGTAAGTTTTATGTGTGTGTCTGAATGATGTATACGTGGTTATTAGACACAAACCTGTCTGTGCTCTGTGTACCGTCCTCCTTGATTATTTTATTTCCAGCGAGTCATTTAGATTTACCTGCTGCTATGTGCCTCAGTGAAACCAAAGTGCTGCTTGTTTTTCCTCTAGACTCAGATATTCATCTCGTTTGTCCTCTGATGAACCAGTAATCTGTCCAGTATGTTGGTTGAACTGCTGATGGAGGACTATAATAACCTCAGTTTCCCTTTCAGGATGATGTTTTTGTTCCCCAAGGGCCACCCAGCTACACCATGGACCCCCACAGAAAAGTAATTAATGCAAATTTTTATTAGATTGAATTAAAATAAGAATAAAAAAAAAACATTTTGTTGAATGTTTTGTTTTTTCTTCATTAGGTGCCTTTGATGAATGGTCAGATGGGTCCTTCTGTTCGTCCTCAGATGAGCCAGGCGTCTATGGCTCGCCACCCTTCCAGAGAGCAGCTCATCGACTATCTGATGCTCAAAGTCTCCCAGCAGCCCGTCGGGCCTCCTCGCCCTCCTCAGAAAGAGGTGAGGCATTGGGAGGTCTGGAGGGGAGAATCCACCCCAACGCAGGCTGCAGCTTCCTGTTTAATGTGCATGAGGCTCGGTCATCTCCGACGAACATCACAGCTGTATAAATGAATATCTGACATCCTTACCCTTTTTAGTTGGATTTTTAAAACCCCAGTTCCATGTTGATTTAACCATAATAATTTGTGGCTGTCTGTTTTAAAACTCTCGCATCAGCAGGGTTCAGCCTCCAATTAAGTGTTTTCATGCACTTTATTTATATAGCACGTTTAAAATACAGTGTGAGAGCTGACCAAAGTGCTGCACCGGCACGTTCATTCAAAACAAAATAAACCAATGAAAGTAAAACTATCGATGCAAAGATCACCTATGCAGCATGTTTCAATTCAATTCAAGTTTATTTGTATAGCGCCAAATTATGACAAGAGTTGTCTCAAGGCACTTAACATAATCATTCCAATACAGGTCAGTTCATTAAGCCAATCAGTAAAATGTTTCCTATATAAGGAACCCAGCAAATTGCATTGAGTCACTATTGTCAGAGTCTTTACAGCAATCCTCATACTAAGCAAGCATGCAGTGACAGTGGAGAGGAAAACGTTAAGTTATGCACACAATTATTGTTCCCTGAAGGAGAGGATCGAGGCACAACATATATAGTATGGGATATCACGCCCTTGCGTGGTCTGACTGAAGACACGTTTAATCACGTCTTTAGGCCACATGACGTAGGGGGCAGGGTCCATTCAATTCAAAGATACTTTATTAATCCCAGAGGGAAATTAGAGTTTCAGTACACGCAATTCTGAGATCAGACATACATACAGGCATAGACACATGACAAGAATTGATGACTGTGGTCATTCGCAACCCGAGTCCCGCTACCTTAATAGAGATCAGAGGGGTTTACATGAGGATTGGGTCAGGTGGAGGGGGAAAAAAGCACTTCAGAGTTACCCTCCACAGGGAGGGCAGCTTTGCTATGCAAAAAACACCTCAGACAGAAATGCAACAGGCTTCAGACATTATTCAACATAAGTGTCCACAAGGTGGGGAGGTAGGGTTTGGGGACTCTCCAAACATCAGTGCATGCTGCCGCGATAAGCAGCGCTCGTCACTTCCGTTTGGACGGGGGGGGGGGAGATCGTTGGGTTTAGAGAGCACAGTGACTTCTGGAACGATTCAACGGCCTTCACCGGTCGCAGTCCTGCCCAGGCTGGGATAGGGAAACAGAGTTGCCATGGCGACGGCAGCATTCCACATTTCTTCTGAGGGGGAGTAATTGCTTCAGCCTCACAGGCTCAAGGGCACCAGATTCAGATAAGAACTTGTTTTGGGGCCAGACAGATAATTTCTGCTCTGTCTTAAAGTTCCGTTGGTCCTCAACCCCTCTCAATCCAATAATGGCGTAGTTAATCAATCCCAATCCGTGCTGACCCGTCAACTCTCTCCTTGATCGAATCCACCTTCTGTGCCAGAGCCTGAATCTCAGCCAAAGTTCCAAGCTTACGACTCATCTCGACAATTATACGAGTGCGTTCACAGCGCGGTGTAATGAGCTCCGGGAAAGAGCCAATATTCCTCGACAGCTCATAAATTTTCCGGTAAGCCAGATAACCACTCAGGCCAAAAAGCAGGAAACCTGACACCAACACAACGAATATCCAGACGTCTTCAGAATCCTCTACAGACAGTTGGGAGAGGCAGATCAGGTTCCACTGTTTCCAGAGTCCATGATATACCCAACTGGCTCTGTCCCATAGGGTCACCCGGGAGCCCCTTCTCCCATTCTCATCGCTGAAAAAATCTTGACAATCGCATTGAGAGACCAACTGACCAGGTCCATTTTTAATAATTTCCAGTTTCCAGGAAAAATGCAGAAGCGCCGTCTACCCAATGATAGACAAAGAGCCTTGGGATAAGATAGGGAGGAGAAGAGGCAAAAAGTGTCTGTACTCTCCAAGAGCCAGAAGAAGAACAAATATAAATTATAAATACCCCTACTCACACGTCATGCTCCAGTTCGATGACCGCTCTTCACTGAGCCCAGCTGCATGGCGGGGCAACAAAGATGTTGTACCTCGTTCCTCTCCTTCATGGAACAGCAGTTATATGCATAACCTAACGTTCCCTTTCAGTCGATTCACTCTGTACAACACATATAGTATGGGACATATATACACGCCCCGCAGAGCAGTCATCAGAAAATCAGGCCCAAAAGGCGATGCTTTAGTGTGAGCCTTGTGATCCAGCAGACAAAACGGAGTGAGCCAGCGACAGTGCAGTCACATCCAAACGGTAAAACTGAGTAAACGTGTGCGGTGAAGACCCAACTGGCAGCAGCTCAGATGTCGTCCACTGGGGCTCCTCTGAAAAGGGCCCAGGATGCAGCTGCACCTCTGGTCGAATGAGCTCTCACTCCCTGAGGTAAATGGAGACCCTTGCTGACATAAGCAAGAGAAATAGCCTCCACCACCCAATGGGAGAGTCTTTGTCTGGACAGAGCTTTACCTCTGGCTGGATTGGCTAAACACATAAGCTGCTGATCACATAACCGCATACTCTGAGTACGGTTAATGTAGATATGTAAAGCGCGCACTGGGCACACAAATTGAAGCCTACTTTGTTCCTCTGAAGCAAAAGGAGGCAGATGAAAACTAGCCAGCTCAATGATCATGGACCTGTAACTAGATGGAAGCACTTTTGGGAGATGAGAAGCATTAGATTTAGATTAGATTAGATTTCAGATTTATTGGCCAAGTAAAAGTACATTTACAAGGAATTTGTCTTCGGTAGATGTTCGCTTTCTAAAACAGACAACAACCACAATAAATGAGAATAAAAATACCTAAAAACACATAACATGTATACCCACACACATGTTCATTTACACACACACACATATATACATACCCACACACACACACACACACACATATCCATAAGCATACTGAATAAGTATTAAAAACTATAATAAAAAGATGGTAAAAGAATCTACAGATTCAGGAGAGAAATGGCTGAAGGAAAGAAACTTCTTGTGTCTGGTAGTTTTTGTGTACAGTGATCTATAGCATCTGCCAGATGGGAGGAGATGGAAGAGAGTAGATGCAGGATGTGTGGCAACTTGGACAATATTCAGTGCCTTTTTCCTGGTCCTGCTGATGTACAGTTCCTGGACAGAGGGCAGCTGGGCACCAATAATTTTTCCTGCTGTTTTAATAATACGCTGTAGTCTGCATTTGTCCATTGTTGTGGCTGACCCAAACCAGACAGTGATGGATGAGCAAAGTATGGATTCGACTGCAGCAGTGTAGAAGATGATCAGCAGCTCTTGTGATAGGCCGTACTTCCTTAGTTGCCGTAAGAAATACATCCTCTGCTGAGCCTTTTTGAGGATGGAGTTGATGTTTGTTTCCCACTTCAGATCCCTGGAAATGATAGTTCCCAAGAACTTGAATGAGTCCACCATTGACACTGGGCTGTTGGATATTGTGAGGGGGGGCAGCACCGTGGGAAGCTTCCTAAAATCCACGACCATCCCCACAGTCTTAAGGGTGTTAAGCTCAAGATTGTGCTGACTACACCAGACCACCAGCCTCTCAGCTTCTCGTTAAGCAGACTCATCACCATCCCGGGTGAGCCCAATGACAGTGGTGTCATCTGCAAATTTCAGGATTTTAACAGCCGTGTCTTTAGAGGTGCATTAGGTCCTAATGTGACCTTAGAGCCCCCAGCAGAGAATTGCACACATGACAGGTGCACTGAAAGTGCATGCAGGTAGCCGACACGTTTGGCAGACGCCAGTGCAAGATGCAGAGCCGTTGTGTGTAAGATTTTTATATCAACCGACTCAAGTGGTTCAAACGTTGCGTCACACAGAGCATCCAGCACAGCTCTTAGGTCTGCGGACCCCTTTCAGGAAACGAATCGCTAAGGGGTGTGCACCTGGTGTCACTCCATCAATGCCAACATGGCAAGCAGAAATGGCAGCCAAGTAAACCTTGGTTGTGGAGAAAGATAGACCCCCCTCCACCAGTCCCTGTAAGAACGTTAATACGTCTACGATGGGGCACTGGAATGGAGCAATATTCCTGTTCAGACACCGCTTCTCAAAAGCTCTCTTTTTTAAAATATATAAGCTTCTAGTAGATGGTGCCCTAGCGCACTGAATAGTCTCAACCACAGCCAAAGGGAGACCCCTGGCTAATAAGCTGGACCTCTCATCAGGTAGACATGCAACATCCACAACTCTGGGCATGGATGAAGTATCTCTCCCTGCGCCCGCGACAGGAGATCGGGACAGTGAGGGAGTTCCCGGGGCTCCTCCACCAGCAAGCTGATTATCTCTGCACACCATGACTTTGCAGGCCAGCGAGGGGCCACCAGAATTAAGGTCAGGCTGTGTTCGCGTACCCTCTCCAGTATTGGAGGAATCATCTCCACCGGAGGAAATGCATACAGAAGCACTTTGGGCCACTGGTGAGATGGCGCGTCCACCCCCAGTGGAGCATTCTGATCGTCTATTGAAAAGAACAGAGGGCAGTGGGTGTTGTCTTTAGATGCAATCGCACAATCCTGTTACCTCAGCAAAGCAAAAAGCAGCTTGAAGGACCCCCCACCCCCACCCTGGCCGTGCCTGGTTTCAGCTGTTACCATCAGGCAGGCACTTCTAGACTAGAGGACAGCTTTTGTCCAGCAGCCATAACTCTTAATACAAACCTGTAGCAAAAAACAGCTGCAGTTACCGATCTAGAAGCCAATGAATGCTTTCTGGCGGTAGTATTTATTACTAGAACTTTTCATTCTTGGAGAATTTCGATGTTGAACGTTTGTCGCCAATGAATGCATCCTTTATAGCAGTGTCGTAAAATTATTATTGAAACTTTGATTTTCTTAGATTTTTACATTTTAAATGTGTGATGATGACTAACCGCACCACGCGGGGGGAGCAGTGCTCCCAGTTTTGCTGTAAGCCGAGCTCCGCTCACAATTAAGACTTGTTTCATCTTTCTGTCACATCTGTGTCACTCAGCCCTTCACTTCATATTTTTACTCCTAATGTAGGGTGGTTATGTAATTAAGTGTGTGTGAGTGTGAAACTACGGCTAATTAAAGTGAGTGGGTGTGTTTCAGATCCATGTGACGGTAGAGAAGAATCCAGAGCTAGGTTTCAGCATATCGGGAGGAGTTGGGGGCCGGGGAAACCCCTTCCGCCCCGATGATAATGTAACATTGATTTAGTATTATTTTTCTTTTACGAACATTACCATTAAAGATCATTTAATGGAAACCACTGATTATATCGTCCTTTGTTGTGTGACTTGCAGGGTATATTTGTGACGAGGGTTCAGCAAGAAGGACCGGCATCCAAGATTCTTCAGCCTGGAGATAAAATAATTCAGGTCTGACGTGTTTGTGATCAGCATCTGCCTAATTTGCAACAGCTGCTTCGAGTTATTCATTTTTTATTTTCTGTTTGCAGGCAAACGGCTACAGCTTTGTGAATATTGATCATGCTTATGCAGTCTCTCTGCTGAAGACATTTCCAGCCACTGTGGATTTAATTATCATAAGAGAAGTGCAGGCGTAGGCTCTGCTGGACGAGTGAGCACATGAAAGGAGAACAAAGATGGATGTAAACCCATATTTTTGTACTGATCTGCAGACACCTTTTGGGACTATTTATAGCTTGGCTCTTCAGAGGTCTGCGTCACCTCGATGAAACGGGGAAACCACTGAATGTAGTGGATCTCATGTGAAGCAGCAGCAAACACGTGCAAGTACATGTCGTCAAAGGCCATCACTGTGGTATATATCTATTTTTATACGAAGAACCTAAAAATGTGCTTTGATGAGAATACTGTGGTCTCTGTAAAGACTTTTTAATTCTTTTCGTTTTCAACTGAACCACTGATCAACAGTAAGGTTTTTGCTAATGGACATAAAGGTGGCCACTAGGGGGCAGGGCGCCCTCACTTCCTCTCCTTTGTCATCCACTTTGCTTCTTCATTTTGGGATTTTTTATTTAATTTTTTTATTATTCAAATAATTTTTTTCTCTGCTGCCGGGCAACTTTATCAGCCGAACTGCGGTACGTGTTTCTCATTGGGGAGGTGAATGTCGATCAGGGCGGTGTTTGTTTTGGTTTTTATCACGAGGAAATCATCTAGTGCTGCTTCCATCAACCTGTGAAGATCCACCGGCTCACAACGCCCAAGTCCAGCTGCAATGCAGTCGGGAAATGTATCACGGCTTCTCAGACGGCGACGAAATGCATTCGGCATGTTACAAGGCAGGAAAGTCGAACGGAAATTTGTATATTTCTGAAAAATGAGTCAGTTTTTTTACCAAGTAAAACTGAGAGCAATAAGCCAATAATTTTCAGCAGAACTCCAGATAAAAAAACGCTCATTTAAAAATAAAACCTTTTATCTGTTGTAAGAAGAAAAAAGTGGTGGTTGTGCTGTTGAACCAAAGTAAGCATTAAAAATCAAACCTGCGGCAAAAACAGAGAATCCAAGGAAAGTCGTTTGTATAATCCATCTGTGTGATTTTGAATGGTTGTCAGCATCTAGTGTTTTTAACAGAAAACCACAGGTTGCCTTTGTACGTTTAAGTTGTTTTCTTTGTTTATCCATCGCTGGTGCAGTCCGTTTTACTTTTCCCTTCAGTGCACAGAGAACAAAGGTGGGAGACACAAATTGTCAAGTGCCATAAGACCTTGAACTATTTGAACAGAGCGGGGGAGGACATTTGGACCCCAGAATCAGAGCAATACTCACATTCACCACCGTTTCAGTACATTTGCAGCGTTACGGCTTCAGAGCAATACTTAAAGCCTTTATTCTCAGTTACAGAACATCCTTTTTAAAACTGAATCCAGTCTTTTAGTACTTGATGATTTTACATGGTTTTATATTGAGAAACGAATCATTTTTTGTAATTAAATAGCACAGGAGTAAATATGTATGCTATGTATGTTTAAAAAAGCCACTCAGCATTGTGTAAAAGTGAATATTTTATTGCTTTGCGTGGGACGTTTTACTGTCTCTTGTGTAGAGTACTGGATCTGTCGCTGTTCATAGGTGTTCAGTCGTTTTATACTTGTGTGTGTGTGTGTGTGGGTGGGAGGGGGAGGGGGAGGGGGGCCCAGTGGAAGAGGCATTCCCCAGACATTTGAAGATTTTTATTTTACTCTGACTGCTGCAGCAATGGGACGTGTTTCCAGAATTAGTGGAAATGAAAGAAGTCACAAAAACATGGTTCCTGAAATTCCAGCTATTTGACCTTTTTTTTTGCCGTAATTTTACAGTTTTATGGTTTTAACAAAAGGTGTTAATTCCACTTGTCGGCAGCCTATTCATTTCTGTTTAGAAGAAAATGACGCCCTGTGCTTTCCCTAAATCACGTGTTGTATTCTACGCAGATGAAATGATTGTTTTTACTTTTAAATGTGATTCATTTTGACTTAAAGAGGGAGATAAATTATGGGGATTATCGTCACTTTATAATCTTGGCAAAAGTATAGAAAATGTCAATCTAGGGAGATTAAAAAAGCTGTTTTCACAATTTCTTTTGTGTTTAAGTTCCCACAATGTTTATATTTATTAAGCAGACTTTTGAGGATTTCAGACCTAACTAATCAATTTGTAAATAGTTTTAAATGAAAACTTTGAGAAGAGGTAACAGCATTTGTGACTCACGATTGTAAAACCAGCAATAAATGAAAATACAGAGGCACCCGTTTAAATGTATAGTTACGTCTAAGGTTTCTCCGGAAACGGTCACAGTGCATCAATGGTTGACGAACATTGATCCAACATTCCAGATTTTGTACATAATCACCTGTTTCAGATGTCACCTGTGGGAAATAAACTAATGCTGTTTAACAGTGATCTCTTTTTGGTTTTTCTGTTCCTTAATTTGGATTTGAAGGATGTTTTTTTAACAATTGTTTAACAAAACTGATTTATCTGAATTACTTTGATATGCAAGAAAAGTTGAATCTTTGAAAAGCTGAGCAAGAGGCTGATGGGGACTCGAGTCTCATTTAAAAATCCCTCAGCAACTTGAGACTCGACTTTTACCTGCCCCTGATAGACTAGTCTCTTGAAAACCTGAAACTTGAGGTGGTGTTTAAAAACCATGTCAAGACCTGGTCTTTGCATTAGGGATGCAACGATACCACTTTTTTCCAAACCGATACGCTACCGATACTTGGATCTGAGTACTCGCCGATACCGATTACCAATACCGATACTTCCACCACACAACAAAATGCAATGATTTGGAATACAGATTTTATTTTCTTCTCTGTTTTCAACAGGAAAAGACTGAGGTAGATAAAAAGTAAAATATATGACTGGAAATCATCACAAAACTAAAATGTTAAGTGAACAGAGAAGACAAGTTACAGTGAAGCCATTTTCAAGCTACTGCATTGGTATCGGTTCCTGGTATCTAACTTTTACAGACACAGATACTGGTATTGGTATCAGTATCGGCACTGATACCAATAACAGTATCGTATCGGTGCATCCCTACTTTGCATAGAGAGACTTGACCTGGACTTAATGTGTCTCTTTAACACTCGATATTTGATTTCTGCTTAGAAAATATTGAGTCAACATGGACTTCAAAGGCTTGCCTCTCAGACACTTGGGACTTGAGACTTGGAGACTTGAAGCTCGACATAATCTTCAAAAATCCAAGATTTAGACTTGAGAATTTACATCATTTTTTTCTGTCAAAGACTTGAAAAGTTTGACTTGGAGTTGTGTTAAAAAAAACCTTGAAGGCCCTCAAACATTTAAGACTGACTTTACATAGAAAGACTTGACTGGGACTTGTTCCTTAAAGGCTTTAAACTTGATTAGACCTGAGACTTGAGGGGTCAGGCTGGGTGGGGTGGGGGTGGGGGACAAACATTGCTGTTTAGTATTTTTCCTATTTGTGTCGAGCTTATTTTTTGATCATTTTAAGCCAACTTCTTATCTTTTAAATCATCTAAACGTAACGTACCAAAAGGGTCAATGTTCACCTCCATATTGACCAACATAACCTTTCATCTACAGAAATAAATCCACTTTCTATTTGGCCTTCAAATCCAGAAGGTTCTGCTTGGTGCTTGTTTACATACAATAAGAAAACATTTCAAACAAACACTCAGTCCCAAGGTCTGATGCAGGAACCTGGCTGCTGCATTCCTCACAATACATCCCAGAATGCAACACTTGTGATCCCAATCCCTATAGGAGAACTTTGAAAAAGAAAAAGCCCACCACAACTCCATACATATTGTACCTGGTATATATGGTATTAAGGGCCCACACTTTTGTTTGCTCTAGGCCCCCAAACTCCTAAGTCTGTCACTGGTTATGCCCACTGTTTCGGATGACTTTGTCATTTTTATGTATTTGGCTTCCAAATAATTAATTCTACCCTAAAAATAATTAACCACTGATGTTTAATTTGTAGTTTTAATCTTTTTTTGTACCAGTAAAAGCGACGTAGTGTTAAATTGTACCTTTAGAGGCGCTAGAGTGCCTCCAACTGGTTATCGGACACTGCTTACAAACAAGAGAAAGAGTGAGTCCTACGGCTCCGCCCTCTGCCGAAAAGGATAACAGAAATACATTTAGCATAAATATAACATTTAGGAATTATCAACACAGGTATTGGATTCTAAAATGAGTGGAATACCAGGTACTGCCGTTGTACAGGTCACCAATTTGTCCTCGGCTGTGAGCAGCGAGCAGATGCGGACTCTGTTCGGCTTCCTGGGAGACATCGAGGAGCTTCGTCTCTACCCCCCGGAGTAAGAGCTGTATTCCCCGCTGAGGGTCCTTAGGAAACACCGTGGCTCTGCGGCCTTGTCGATAGTTTCCCGAACGTAAATATGAGAAAGTCTTGCCTCGAACAGATATTAAACCTACATTTTCTCTCCCTTTGTTTCCTCCCTCACAGCAACGCCTCTCTGTCTTTCTCGTCCAAAGTGTGTTACATAAAGTACCGAGACCCTTCAAGTGTTGGTGTGGCGCAGCATCTCACCAACACTGTTTTTGTTGACAGAGCTCTGATTGTAGTGCCATGTGCAGAAGGTGAGTGCAGTCCCTCTGGTCTAAAGATGTAAAAATGTACCAAATGACTTCCTGTGGACGGCTTACCTGGATGTTTTTGTTTGGGGGATTTTTGCACCTAAAATCGGTTAGCAGCTAGAGGTCGACGGGGTTTACACGGTTAGCAGACAGTTACTCAGATTTTTAAGCTCTTTTTTTTTTATTATATAACTGGCATCAGCTGGACTTGTTTTCTGCAGAAAAATCTTGATTCTAGATTTTTATGACCATCCATGTGTTTAAAAATAACCACAAACAATTTGGCTTTACTGTAAATTACACATTCGCTCGGTTTTTGGTTACAATTAAATGTTTCAGATGAGCAAAAACAACCTGAGAAAATGCTAAATCAAGTTTTTAAATAAGGATTTAATTTATTCAGGGAAATAAAAGTATTCATACATACCTGGTTCAGTTTGTGAAAAGGAGTTGCAATCATGTTAGTGAGAGTGCTACATCTTTGTGGAGGGATTTTCTCCCACTATTAACATTTATAGTAAGTAGTTATTACTTTTCAAATATAATAACTTACATGCTAATTCAACCATAGTAACATCACACAATTCATTTATTTGTTAGAAAAACAAGTAGGCAGAAGTAGAAACTTATTTAGCCCTACCTCTGAGATGCAACTTATCCAATTCTAATCAGAACAAACAAAACACAAACATTTATTTTGACTAAAAAAAAGAGTTAAAATATATTCCTTACTAGGAAAAACTGGGTTTTTTTTCTGTAAAAATGAAACTGAGAAAACCAGCAAAGTTTATTTCAGCTAAAACATAATAAATGTCCCTATTAGAAACTTTTTATTTTTCAATAACAAAAACAAAAAAGGAAAATGCCGCAGAACCAACAAAACACCATCATTTCTTCACACTAAAGGGGAAAAAAGGCAAAATAATCCAATTTTGAAGTAAAGACTTTTTTGTTGCATAAACGGTTTGTTGAAGGTCAAAGGTCAGACTTGCTCCTTCGGGGTTTTCAGGTAGAGAGCAAACTTTATGGTTCCATTAATTACAGCAAGTGGTCTGGATCCTAAATCGGCCACCACCATGGTTGAGGTGCAGACTGAACAGAAAACGTCTTCCTAGAATGCTCACAGAGATGTTTTCTGAGGGAATATGCGACGGATCATCAGATTCTTTTTGGTCAACTGAGGTTTTCGAGGTTTTCTCATTGAAACACACTTATGACCTGAAATAAGCATTTTGTGTTCAGTCACTTAGGTTTTTGCTCATCTGTGACATTTATATGTGACAAAAAGCAAAAGAAGAAGAAATCTTTTCAACGTTGGCGGTCGACCTCTAACTTCAGCCGAGTAATTTTTTTTTTTACACGTATTTAGCACAGGCGGTGGGGTTTTTAAGGTCAACCATGTTTTCAAAGCACCCAGCCATGGTTTCTGTTGGTGAGACAAGATGGATGTCATTGAGTTTAAATGTAGAAAGATGATTCTTGATGGAGCGCAGCCTCAATTATCACAGGACTGTCAGGGTGGAGTAGCTAGGAAGTCAAAGATGTTGTGACTTAAAAACAAATCCATTACTGTACAGTTCAGTCAGTCCTTTCTCTCTCTTTCTCATCCTCTCATTTATTGGTGCTCACCTTCTTCAAACCTCCCTCTCCTTGTGTACACTGGCATTGATATCACCTCTAACCTGATGCATTGTGTCCACGTGACTTGGTGCTGGATGGCTACTGAGTTTATTAATTTGGTTTTGTATGTTTTTTTTCTGTGTGATTATGTGTGCATATCAGATGGCTAGACTGGCCCAGCTGTTACACTACACTAGCCTGAGTCAGGCATTGTTTTCCAAGCCACTATCCGCGATCGGGTCATCGCAGCCTTCAAGGGGGAATGTGACCCGGAGAATAGCCCGCTGAACCTTCCAAGATGGACACCTTGTCTCTTTATTTGTTTATTTTCGTTTTATTTTACCTTTTGGTTTGTTTCCTCTCATACTATCCCATGTTGTCCACTTTCTACTGTCTCTATCTAGAACCTGCAGGTTTGCTTATCTCTAGCGTTGTGTTTTATATTTGTTATTTTTGTTTGTTATTTTGATTATTGTCCAACCCCTACCCCCCTCTCTCTTTCTTGCTACAGCTGCGGCTTGTGTGTGGTTGGGTTCTGTCCAGGTTGCTACGGCATACCGGTGGGATGTGTGTCACACAAGCGATGCTAGGAGGATCGCTAGCTGTTTCGTTCCCTTGTCTCCTGCACCGGTTGACGTAGTGAAGGGCTTGTCTAGGTGTTAAAATGACCCAAAATAATGATGCACATCATCTTTTGACACATCCAAGCACTTGTTTTTGACTTTTAAACTGTAGCCGAGGGCAACATTTAGGACTTTTACCTCACATTGCTTCAGTAACACGGATCGCACCATTTGCTCATCCTAACATATGCATTACTGATTTGCTTTCATAATGCTTTATTTTTGAAAGATGGTTCCTTGCGTCTTTTTTTTGTGCTGAAGAAATGAAAATCCTGTGCTAAGTCCCTCCAGCTGTACTCAAATTTGTTGTTGTTTTGTCTTCTTCTGCAGAAAAGAAGAAGATTATAACCCGCAACGGAAATGAGCAAAAATCCTAATTGGTTGTTTTTATTATAGCTAAGTTTTTTTTTAGCTAACATTTCCAAAGTTCTTAAAATTGTTGTTCTTTTCTGTATCTGATGTTCTGTGTGCTATTAGTGATGCAGCCATTGGGGTTGTCTTGTGTTGCACACCTTTCCAACACTGCGAAAACGATCGCCCCACGGAAAAGCGCCCATGCTTGATATCGTATGGTTCATGCCCAATATGTTTCCAGTCCAGGTGACCCATAACATCAAAGTGTTGACTCATTCTCTGCATTGTGTGTTTCTTTTTAACCTATGAAAAGAAAACAACAGAAACATTTTTCTTTTGCTTCTTGAAAAAAAAAAGTTAAGATTCTTAGTAGTAATAAATATTTGAATGTGGAGAATAACTGAGTAAATCCATGTTAGGATGCCGTGAGTAGCCAGTAGATGACTAGTAGGCTGTATGGGGAGGTGTATGCTCTCTTTCTCTCTAGAATACAGTGGGCTAATTGTGCAGACAGAGAAGAGCGCCTCCTTTTCCTTCGCTGATATCCGTTTTGTCCTTCAGGGAAGATTCCAGAAGAAGCCAAGGCTCTGTCGCTGCTGGCCCCCGTCGCCCCAGTACCCAGTCTGATTCCTGGTGGAGGGCTGCTGCCAATCCCCACTCCGGCTTCGATACCAAGTGTGAGTTATCGTCTTGTCTTAATGGGTGTCTTTGTGCTGTTAATCCAACGCAGCCTCTGTGTGTCCTCTCCACCTACAGCTGAACCTCCCTTTAGTGAATCGGATCGCTGCCGGCTTTGATGCCTCGCCGCCGGTGCCGTCGGTGCTCTCGCAGCCTCCCCTCGTCGGAAATGTTGATCCGTCAAAAATCAATGAGATCAGAAGGACGGTTTATGTCGGCAACTTGAACTCACAGGTAATCTAGTTTAAATTATTAGAGTGATTTTTGGTTTTTGTGACTTTTTACTGTCGTCAGCTTTATTTATATAGCGCTTTACAACAGCATGAAAGCTGACCAAAGTGCTTAACAAGCCAAAACAAATACAATAAAAACGAGCAATTTGCTAAAATGCTAGAATAAATTATGATAAAAGTCTCTGAATAAATGAAATAGGACTGCAACTAACGACTTTTAATAGTCGACTAGTCACAGACTATTGAAACGATTAATCGTCTAATCGGGTTATTATTAAAGGGGCATTATGGATGTTTGACAGCCAAAACATGTATAGAAATAATAAATGTCTTCTTCATACATTCTCCTGCAATGCCGTGGTCCTGTAGAATGAGCCCTGGCACTTTTACTGTGATTGCCTGTTTTTCTGTAAAATCACAGAAATAGAGAGTTGCTCGGGTCGAGCAGGCTGCTTCATGCGCGTTCACGCTCAGGCATAGCCCGTAGCATTTGCTATCCGTAGCTTTAGCAGCAGAGAGATAGGTAAGTGCTACTTTGTCGCTGTTCCTAACACCTAGTGACAAACCTAGCTACATTTCTGAGGACCCTTAGCTACTTTCTGCAGAACTTTCTTCTAGATATTTCCTGCAAATTAGCAACAAAATAGCCATTTTCGCTCCGTTTCAGCTGTCATCAAGGATATAAAAGTTACAGAAACGAAGGACGTCACTGGCGCTTTAGCTCACCTAGTAAGATGTCGGACTTTCGTGCTGAAGACCCGGGTTCGATTCTGGATGTGAACATAGTTTATTTAGAGTTTCTTTTACATTAATGGTATTTTTTTTACAGTAAGATGCCCAAATTTTTATTTGAGACTCGCCGAACGGCATTGAATTCACAGATAAAAAAGATGTGGGTTCAACTTTCATTTTGGAACAATTTTTCAAGCAAGGGAAGGGAATGATCTGAGCATGCAGGAGGACTGACCCATCTTAAACCTTTGTCAGCTGTGCTGAAGAGAAAGGTACAGAACCAAATTATTTCAGTTCAGTTCAGTTCACTTTATTTCAAACATATACATTCACCAACATTTCATAAAAATCATTCCATGCAATTGTTTGAAAAGGAGTAGGGAGAAGTGCATACTTATTTAGCCCTACCCCCTCAGGTTTACATCCTCATCATCAAAATGTAAACAACAAAACAGTTACATTTAATTATTTAATTAATTAGCTGCGTGCTCTCCCCTCCTGTGTCCTCCAGGCCACACACACACACACAGGACTGTCTCAGCTGTTATTTTCGTTACGGTGTGTGCACGTACAGCATGCACGCCTCGTGCACGAGCCTACTATTGAAGCTGCCGTTACGTTTTTGGCCTGAGGGGGCAATCGCGAGCATAAAAATTCAAAACTCCGTAAAGTCCCTTTAAATTTTTCTTAAATTTAGCATGAGATTGCTTTAATTGTGTGAAAAATGATAATAAACACAAAAAGATGCATACTTCAATGGAAAACGCATATTTTATTGAACTTTGCTGCTGATAGGCCAATTCATACTAAAAGTAAATAAAAACGCTGTCTAACACCAATTAGGCACAGTGCTCAGTCAGTATAGACATAAATGCATAAATAAAATTAAAATACTTTTGTCAGGCACAGTCAGGCAAAACATTAAATCTCTTTTTTTAAAAGCGAAAATATGTTTAAAAAAATGTACAACATACATCCAAAACAAAACGTATTGGCTTTGGTGTTATTTAAATCTTACCGAGGTGAGTCAGACTTGTTTCATTCAACTGTCCGACGTGCTTTCTCGTTAAGTGTTCATGCATCAGCGACGTGCTGCCGTGATACGCGAGGACTGCTTTGCTAATATTGCAGGTCATCTTTTTATTCGCCGAATCCAGGCTAGAATGCTCCCAAACTGTAGATATCTTGGTACGCGTGGCTGCTGTGTTGGACGCCGCCATTTCTGTTAGTTGGCGCTCAACAGAGAAGCTATTGCGCATGTGCGACTCTCGGCAGAGATTGTAATGAAGTGAGATGCCTCACTCGGTCGGAAAAAACACGTCTGGTGACAACGTCGACAATGAAGTTCATTTGTCGATATTTGTCGACAACATCGATCCCACGCCTCCGCTGGGGTCGGGCCGGACCCCATTAGACATCAGCATAGTGTTCTAAAGCAATGGTTTCCATTGGTGATGGAAACAGACCAGTTATGCTCCAAGAGCCGAAACACACACACCCTTATGTGTTTTGGTCTACATCGGATCTTCAGCGTCTCAAAGGTACTAGTGGGGCGATGTGTTTAGCGGGTTTCTTAAATACCAATCAGTTATTTAGAAAAGGAAATTTCCAGTCACATTTTTGTTTCATGAAATCCTCAAAGGAGTTTAAAAAAAGCAGCTAGCCATAATCATCTGAATAAAATCTGTGTGTGTATTCCGTGTTTAAAAGAAGAGCAGAACCAGAGGTTGGCTGGCTCTCCTTCCCTTTAATCCCTTCCTGCAGCTCGGATTATCTCGACACGTTGAAATTCTTTTCTTTTCTGTTACAGTAGGACGTTGTGTTAGCACGTTTGAAATGTTAGATTTGTCTTGTTTTAGACAAAATAAGGCGTCTAAAACGGAGGCTTCTGTGCCACACTTGAGACTCAGATCTGACTACGTTGAAGCCAGAGATCATCGTCATACACGGCAGATCATTCAGATACACATACAACATCCTCATTCAGGTCGACGGAGAGAATCAAAGCCTCTCAATCTGGGCCTGAAGACCTTTTTAAACCATTTCCTTCCGTTTCCCCATCAGACGACCACAGCAGAGCAGCTGATGGAGTTCTTCAAGCAGGTGGGAGATGTGAAGTTTGTGCGAATGGCCGGAGACGAGAACCAACCCACTCGTTTCGCCTTCGTCGAGTTTGTTGAGCAGGAGTCCGTCGCCAGGGCCCTGACCCTGAATGGAGTCATGTTTGGAGACAGACCCCTGAAGTATGTCCCGGGACGGGTTTGACTCTTCAGTCTAGCAGCTGGTTTTTAAACATTTAAGTTAAATGTTGTTCTGGTTTCTTACACAGCGTGATGTTATTGGGTTGTATATTGAATGCAGGATTATAATACTGTTGGGTGTCTTTCAGGGTTAATCATTCCAATAATGCTATTGTAAAACCCCCCGAGCTGACGCCCCAGGCTGCTGCGAAGGAGCTAGAGAGTGTGATGAAGAGGGTGAGGGAAGCCCAGTGCACCATCGCTGCTGCTATAGAGCCAGGTAGGCCCTCTGGATCTGCTGCACCCACGGCTGGATGCTTATATCTCCATCTTTTAATAGTTGGAAGCAGGGGGGCTGCCAGAGATTTTGGGCCCCATGAAAAAATATCAAGTTGGGCCCCCTGGGGGCTCGTCCACAGCTGGAGCTGGGGTTCCACCATCCCAGACTCGAAGGGAGAAAAAAATATAATATATATAACTTATATTAGTGTTTCAGTTTAGCTTAATTATGTAGGTCTACATGCATTCTTACTTATTTACATATCATTTTCACCAGCTGTCTCTCATTAAACAGTGAATTTCCTTCAACAGAATTAGCAAAATCACTGCTGGAAAAAGGAAATGCACGTGCTGAAAGGTGTTAATCTCATTTTCCCTTAAAATGTGTTTATTTATTCTAAAATTTTATTTGATGATAAAATTCAAATGTGGATATCTAATTAAATTTCCATATTGTGTCAAAGCTTTACATAACTACAATCAAATTAATTAGTCAAAATAAAGCAGGGACCTCTGAATAAATATACATTTCATAAAGACTAAAAGATTGTTTAATGTCTTAAATTAGAAAAAAATACTGCAAAGTACTTGTGATTTTTAAACTCAATTTTTTTTCTTCAACTTTGACACTTTTTTGGGCCCCTGACAGCTGTGGGCCCTTAGAGTCTTCCTAATCTTTCACCGCTTTACGGCGCCCCTGGTTGGAAGACTCCGACAAGACACATTTGGTGTTATTGCTTCCCTTAGAATGAAGGCAATAAAAACCGCTGCCACCTAGTGGTTGGCGTGTGAGTTGCACCACAATAATGTTTGCATGTAGATTTGCAACAAAACCTGATGCACAGATGTTAAATATTGATTTAGTGTACTCTTATTTTGTTATGTCACTATGAAGTACTACATATGATATGTATCTCAATAGTTTTCTTTTTGTGAAGTATTTACAAAATAGCTACGTGTCTCAAATGTCACAAAGTCACTTATATTTATAATATATTCATAATCTTAGTAAAATAGTTAAAATTCTTTATGCTACGTCTGGGGGTGGGCCCTGTCATACTAGTCATAATAATACAGTAAAACCTTCTTTTTACCGGGAAAAAGAAAATCCAGGTGAGCTAATTTCGTGAGGGATTACGCTCACGTGGGTCATGCAGCGTATATAATCTGAGATGACAACCACTGCGGGAATCTCACTGTATTCACTCTTAGTGAGTCAGGAAAGACTATTTTGGCCACTACTGGCCCCCGTACCGTGCGCCTGCCTCTCCACACAAACAGGAAAAACAAAAATCAGTCAGTTGTGGCTAAAAGGCTCGATGAAATTACCAAAAAAAAGAAAAACCCAAAGGTAAATACACATTTTAGGGCAGGACTCTTAACATTTTTGATTACATAGAACAACTTTTCTGGACGTTTTGTCAGTTTCCTGGGCAAAAACATAACATTTCTTATAAATTGGAGATATTGTTTAGTTCTAGCAGTACCAATGGAGTTCTAATCACATGACTAGAAAAGATCCTATCCTGAGACGACTCTTGATGCTTTGACAGAAACAAAGAAGCGTTCCTCCAGTCGGTCTCGGAGGTCACGGCGGTCTCGCTCCCGTTCACACTCCAAACCCCGCAGGAAGAGGTCTCGTTCCAAGCACAGGTGCGTTCACAGGTGATTCTCTTTTTGTTGTGATGGCGTTGTTGTCCAGTCAGTCAGCTTCTTCGCTCCTTTTGAAGCAGATCGTCACAGCGTCTGTGGCCAGGGCTCGCCTCCCACAGCTCCAGAATTGGCCACAGAAGGAGATCTCGCTCCAAAGACAGAAGACACGCCCTGAGTCGCTCCAGGTGAGTTCACGGATTTCTCAGTGTTTGGCATCCGCTCCAGTTACTCGTTAAAAATAAAATAAAACCATGTGATCATCCCGTTGTTCCTGCGTCTGACACTAGGGGTCGCCAGGTTTCTCTGCTAGGAAGTGATAGTTTATTAAATCCAAAAACAAAACAATTTCAGATTGTTTAAAGTCATTTAAAATGTCTGCATAAAAAAGAGGATTTAAGTCAAGTTTTTCGTCATCAGGGGCCACAAGAGGAGGAGTCTGTCCCGAAGCCCCCGAAGGAAACCCAGGTCACCGTCTCCAAAACGGTCAGCTCTCCACATCAACTGTTTTCACGCTTGTCTTTTATGTTTTGAGCAACTGAACTCGTATTTTTAAAGCAAATATTTGTTGCTTGGTGTTGATTTGTTTCTTATGTCAACTTTTAGAGAAAGAAAAGAGAAAAGGAGAGAGCGGAGCCGGGACAGGAAGGAACGTTCCACGTCCAGGAAGAGGAGCCGCAGAGATGAAGACAAGATGAGCAAATCCAAGTCAGCAAAGGTAACAGAGCTCGTTCTTGTAGACTTAAAAAGGACGTAATCAGGTTCCGAATAGAGTCAAAGGTTAAGTAAATTTTAACGGTGAATGTGCATGTTGACCATGGGGTAAGGTAGCATCAATAAAACAGATGCTAACAGGTGCTTTTTTATGTCATCATGACAAATAATGGAAATTTTTCTGATAAAACACTGATGATTTCATCCGTTGATTGTTTGAAGAGGTGTGCATTGGGAATGTTTGCCTGGCATTTCCGCTGATGGACTTTCATCCAGACCTATCCACCTCTTGCCTAGGTCCCATGAGCCTTTGCGTAAAATATGTGACTGACCTCCGGTCTGGTGTTTGTTTACACGGAGACCATAGACAGATGATGCGATCTGTTTGCACTAATCCACTTTTTATGGTCTTTTTAGTAACATGAACTATGTGGGAACACCAGCTGTCACAGCTGAAACAGACAATCCCTCTGCCTACTGCAGTAGAGGGGTGAGGATGGCAAAAGCTAACGTACAGTGGTACTTTAGCTACTTTCTTAAAGGTAGTGGCCAGACTCAGCATTACAATTGTAGAAATGCAGTATAACTACACTTTACCATCTATATCACTTATGTCAGACTCAAGGCCCGCGGGCCAGATGCGGCCCGCGGAGCATTTTTATGTGGCCCGTGAGATGAATATCAAAAATATATTAAAACTGGCCTGCTGGCCGATTTTACCGCAAAGACTTCAACTCCCATGATGCTTTGCGGCGTCAGCGCGGAGCCGACGCGCCCCCTCCTTTGTGTTTTTTCCAGCGCCTGCTGCCGGTGTCTGCAGCTCCGCTGTCTCGGACAAACTACACTCCTCTCACTCGGCGCCGAGTTCACTCAGCTGTTTTCTGACGTTGAAGCCCAGAAATGGAGATTCTAGCCGCTCAGTAATGTGTTCACGACTTAAAGAGAACGTTTTCAAACTAACTTCCAGACAGAGCTGATATAACTCCAGCGAGCAGCGACACGCTCAAACCAGCACGACTCTGTGGCTGCTGCCGGTGTGTTTCCTCCCCGACACACACCAACGTGGTCAAGCTGCTCAGACATGTTCATCAGCACAAACCTATGTGAGCACCTGTTGTCATCTAATGTTGTCGTTATTATGATGAAGATGAACAAAACAACAGGAGTCTCCTCCTCAGCTCAGATCAACCCCATGATGCAGGTATCTGGCTGGAACAGGTGAGCATCACAGTAAACCAGTGGAGCAAACTGAGCTTTAAATATGTTGGTTTTATGCTCTTTTTCTGCTCCAAAATATGAAAGTTAACAGGTGAGATGTTGCATTTTCATTTAAGATAAAATGATATTTTTATTTTGTTGTTGGCCCGTGAGAAAAGATTTAACCTACAGTAAACAGGAAGTGGAAAGGCTGCAGATAGATGAATAGAATAGAAAATCCCTTTATTGTTCCTCAGTGGGGAAAGCTAGATGTCACAGCAGCGATGACACGTATTACAGGAGAAAACAAGGAGAATAAAAAATAAGAAAAATAAATAAACAAGAAAACATAAATCCTGAATAGATTTTAAAAAAATGCTGATTATACCACAAGTAATGAATACCACTGATGCCTTTTATTTGTAACTGACTTGCTCGTGTGTAATTTGGTTATTCCACATTCAGTGTTAATGCAGAAATAAGTTTGTTTCCAAATTTAAAGGTTCAAAATTGCATATATGTTGATAAAGAAAATGTGCAAATTTGCCGTCACTTTTTCAAAAATATTAAGTTTGGCCCTCGACTCCGTCCCAGAGTTTCATTTCGGCCCCGTGTGAGTTTGAGTTTGACACCCCTGATCTATATGAAAATGAACTGGGTTCAGTTTTTCATTTTGTTAAGGAATTTAATCATAAATCATTACAGAAAATCTAAATTCTCTCCTCCAGGCAGTGAAGAACTGTGTTTACTCACACACGTCATACCAGGTAGCTGCTGTTGCTAGCATGGTAAATCACTGTATTTTGTTTACCATCGTGCTCCTAATTAAAACAGAAAATTGCGTTTACAGCTGCAGCTAAAGGTCTGAGCCATATGTCCGTGTCCTACATGTATTTTAACTAACACAGGTTTGATCTAAAATAATAACCTACATCTATAAATCCATCTAGAACCGCACCGGTACTTCTGGACTCCAGCAGGCGAGTCCCGTTAGCATGACTGCCGCAGCACTAACCGTGTAAGCTCCGGTAAAGAACAAGTAATTTGTGAAAGCTACGACACACACACACACACACACACACACACACACACACACACACACACACACACACACACACACACACACACACACACACACACACACACAGATATAATCTAAAAGATGATCCCCATTTTTCAACAATAGATCCTCCAATAGGACCGGTAGAACCTCCGTGTCACCCTGGATTAGAAAACAACAATCCGAGCTAGCGAGTTAGCATCAGGAAGATTTATTCTGGTAAGCAATCGGTTAAATATTTTCTGATGTTATATCAATAAATACACACAGCGGTAGAGCTGGCAACACGTTATTATACTCATCTGTAGATTACTGAACTGTATTGGGACAATATGATGGAGCTAATCAGCTGAGAACTCAACTGAAAGCTACCGGTGGAGCACAGACATGAAATATTTAACAAACTGTACCAATTTTGGTTCCGAAGATGAACAGAATCCTCCCCGGTGTCCTAATCGGGCCGCGGGTTTTCGGAGTGAAACGGTCCAAAGCATGTCTGCACCTCCGGTTCTGATATCCAGCTGCAGGGCACGGAGTTCGGTTGAACTTCTCCGGTAATCCAGTATCCGTTCTCGTCGCCGTATCCCAGAGGAAAAACAAATCTGACCGACTAGCAGAGGCTTCAGAAGCTACATCTGACTGATGACACATTGTTCTCTGCTATAACGCTAACGCAGAAACACCGGAGTCAGGCGTTGTTTACTACAGCTGTTTCAGCAGAGCACCTTGCGAAACGTCACCAGCTGCCCAGGGCTTAGACCGGAAGTTAGTTTCTGTTTTTCCCGTGCCAGTAAAAAAACATCAGATTTTCTTCAAATTCCAGCTGCGAAAATCCAGAAATCTTACTCATCTGAGGTTTTAATACACATTTACACGTGCTGTTCAGAGGAATTTTGCCTCTGGCCAATATCTCTTAACTATGTCGCGTCCAGGAGCAAAGGAATGGACGATGTTAAAAGCTCTGAGGCTCAGTAGTACCGTGTCGTAACAAGGTTGGTCGTGTCTTGTTAAAAGCAGACATAGAGCCGAGTCAAGGCCTTGAATCCCTCATCATCAAACCTGGGTTTCAGCTTCTACATCAGGTCAAATACAAACAGCAGGTTTACGACGGGTTTAATGATCATTTTCAACGCATTGATCGTGTATAATGCAAAAAGTTGAGAATGCAGGTCCTCTTGCTCTTATGAACAGCCAAAGTAGAACACATGTTCCAAACATCGCTCTTGTAGCCACGAATGTAACTGTCTCTGGTTGATGGTGCAGCCACGAACAGCACAACCTGCTCCAAAGCTCGTGAGTACATTTTACGGGGATGTTCAAATAAACTTCTGCTAGCAACAGAACCTCACCATGCAAGCCAATGGCTATGCGCTACTTCTGGTATCTCACCGGATGATGCTCGCATCATAATTTCTTCATGAGCCGGCCCAGGAATAAGGTGGATGTGGTGTAACTGTAGATCTGTAGTAGATCTAAAGCAGCTGTAGGGGCAGATGTACTCAGGATGTTTTACTCAGGTAGATCCTTCTGGCACTGGTCCAACACTAACTGGCTACATCTGATACTCCAGGCTGTTATTGTTTACTTATCTTGTTTTAAGAAGTGTTCGTGTAAGTTAGCCGGTGTAACTTCATCAGATTGCCCTCTTCAAGGGGGGGGGGGGGGGGGGGGGGGGGGATCTACCTGACTTGCTGTTTGCCAATTTCACAGTTTTTGTTCTCTTAACCTCTTCAGCTAAGAAAAACGTTCTTTTTGTGGTAAATGTTTGCTTCAGCTCGTACATGGAACCACACACCCAACCTAGATTTGGTTTACTCGTGAGATCCACGCGGTTCAGAAAGAGCGCAGCTCCTTTCATCTTTATCACTCTCCATCTTTTGGATTGATATGAATCTAAACTTGTGTGACAAATGAACAAATGTCCTCAAAAAAACACTCTGAATGTGCAAAGCTCTACTTGTCGATGTAGCTCTGGCAGCTTTGTCACGTAATTCACTTCACAGCTTTTTGATGTGTAAAAGTATTTTTTTTTTCTTTTTAAGAAGCAGAAAGAAACATGTCAGATTTTATTATGCTCACAATCCTGTAGCACAATTAGCTACTTTTTCATTTAAAAGAATAATTTATTAACTCTTTTTACTCAAATTTACATAAAAATGTTTAGATTAAATCAAAGCTGTCCTCACTTGTTCTCCATTACAGCTAAAGATTAAAAACACCAGATTTCCATCAGCACAACTCCTTTAACCACCGATATCGGTGCCATGACATAAACGGAGTTAACCAACCACAACTCCAGTTGTGATGGAAAGTTATTTAGATCGTGTTTTTGTGTCAGTCTTGTCGACATTTTTCTTCTCAACACCCAAAGTATCTTCCCAACACTTGGTGAAGCCTCGTAACATTTGACTTTTTAACACTTAGAAGGTTCCTCAATGCTTGGTGAAACTTCTCAACTCTTGAATCAGTGTTCTCTAAGAATGGATTGGCTCACAGACAATTACATTAAGAAACAATGCTGTGGTAGCTAACTTTAGCCTGTCTATGATGTTAGAACTGCTAATGTGTTGCTAACATCAGAGACACCTTTTCAAAGCTGGTCTGATACTCCCCGCCCTTTTACTTCACATTATTCAGCTTGTTGTTTCACATTTTAAGATATGCTAAATATTAAATGGCCTGTATTTGATTTAACACCTTCTAGGATTCTACAACCCCCCAAGGTGCTTTACAACATAACCAGTCATTCACACACTAGGAGGAGGGTATCTTTATTGCCATTTGGACACACATACTTGGTCTGAGTATGTAGTAATTCTTCTGCAGAAGCATGGAAACATAAATCTGCCAATGCATAAAACCAATCAGTTGTTAGCTTGGCAGCCACCCGATATATAGTCTGGCCACGACCCATAGACGGAGCTCAGTTGTGGGGTGGGATCCACGGTTGTCTATCAAACTGTCTGCATACTATTAAGCTTGGTTTATGCTTGACGCATTCACTTTCCACTTGGTGATGCAGCTCGCGGATGGAATGCGCTTCACAACTCGCAGCGTTTATGATTCGTGCGGCTCGTCTCTGCGGTGAGCCAATATTCTCCCAAACTGTAGGGGGCAGCATGGAGCTCTACGGCATGCATCCAACACTACACCATAGTAGAAGTAGAAATTACTGTTTACAACATGGCATTTCAGCATTTTTAACAGCGTCCTCGTCTTTTCCGACAGTGCGAGCTATTTCTCTCCAAAAATTATTAACAACATTTTGATCACGATGATCTTTGAGAGTTGAATCATACAAATGTCTGTATTTACCAACCTCTGCCATACTAGTGCTTGCCGGTCCGCCATGTTTTTCCGCGTCCGACCGTCCGCGTGGTTAGAAATTTTCCTAGGTGCATGTTGCGGAAATTTTGGGCCGTGCGGAGACGCGGTGGAGGGGCGTGGTTGTTAAAATGACGCAATTTCGCCGCGCGGAGCCGTGCGGACCTCGCGGACGCGTCAAGCATAAACCAACCTTTAGACAACAAAAGTGACATACTCACCACTATGGATGTCAGTCATTGGGGCAGTTCGCCACACACTGCCAAAGAAGACGCAAACACATCCGTTTTCAAAATAAAGGACTAAAGTACCTCTATCTGCTCTTGACTCAAAGAAAATCCCAAGTCTAAATAGTCCAAAGTTGATGCCAAAGCTGTTTCAAATGAGCTGCTGCCATCTTTGTTGTTTTGCTCCACTGCAGCAACATCCCAACCCGCAAACCAATAGGGCACTGCGATTGGCCGGACACAAAGCTGGTCGGGCCTGCTGAAGCTCCAGTGGATCGTGACTAGACCGACCTTCAGAGCAAATCATTTTGCTTCTACTACGGTCTGTCTAGGTTTCTAGGCTAATCAATAGTATGAACAGCAATAACATTCATGTTGGAATAATATGAAACTGTAGCATTTGTATCAGTATAGGACCCAAAAATTCCTGTCATCATGCCTACGCATTAACAAAATGCGGTTGGTAGAGCTCACATTTTTCTACACGTAGATGATTAAAAATAAGAAGATAAAAACCTTGAAGATCTAACAACAGTTGTCGGGGATCCTAGCATTTATAATTAACATGTATTCCAGGTGTAATAATGTAAGGTTGGTACTAGACGACGTGTAGATGCTACACTGCTCTTGAGTTGGCACGTATCACACTGGTAATGACGTAGATTCAGAGTTTATTACAGAAACTTATTGTGTTTCGGCACCACATAGCCATTTAAGTTGTTTCAAAGTTCAACTCACAGTTTATGGCATGAAACATTCTACTTCACAGGTACAAACATCTTCCATTAACTCTTACACTGTTTTTACTTTTTTGTTGCTATGGCAAAAGTATCCCGTCTGGTTCAAGCATGGTGGGTAGAACCTATAATCTGAACGCAAATGGGTTTTTAAGGTGGTTGGTAACGGTTGGGTTAACTGGTTGTATATTTTAGGCGCTTTTAGGCGATTTTCTACCACCTTCATTAACGAGCACCTGAGCATTTTCATCCCCACTCGTCTCTTCTTTGTTTTCCAGCTCAACAACACCAAAGTAGAAAAGGTGGAGTATGAAAGCAACAGAGAAGGCTCGGTCACACCAAGTGAGGACATGATGTCATCAACGTGCACCCAGCATAACGGCAGCTACAAGAGTCACCGTGAGGAGGACGGACATTTGCAAGCGAATAGAAACAAGTGAGCCTTTAATGTCGCCATAGAAACGAACGCGGCTCCATCAAGGTGTCCCGGCACCCGGCCGTGTTCGTATTGATTCACAAACGCTCACAGCAAATCCTTTTTCACATCACAGCCTCATCAAACTCACTCAGATCTTTGTAACCGAGCTGGTTTTCCTGCCTGAAGAACCACGGTAGCGCCGTGTTTCAGGGAGCGTGTTTAATTCGAGCTCACAGAATCACCCCGATGCCAACGCTTGTTTCAAAGCCGTTGTATTAGCTTATAAAACACTGTCGAGAGCCTGCGGCAGCATCCTCCACCAGTTTGTTCTTGGCTTTGAGAATCAAATCCGTGTTTTGAAGCTGCTGAAACGTGGGAGCTTACAGTTCTGAGCCAACTGCAGAGTTTCCAGGACTCGTTCGTGTCTCAAACAAACGTCGGCCGGAATCTGGGATGGGGAAAAAAAACTCTGTGAGTTTAAAGTTGGTTTTAACTGTGACTTTGTCTCTGACTGTAACCCTTTGTAGATAAAAGCATTTAATGCCTTTTAGACTGGCAGTGTTATCTTCCACCGCGTATGTCATTTCCTTCATATTAAAGCAGCAATCAGCCTTACGGTTGGTGGAAGACTGTCCTCTCCTTCATTTAGGTAAAGTATGATTCACAAATATTTAATCGGGGACACAAATGAATGCTGTTTGATGCACTTAGGATAGAACATTAGATTATCTAGTGTGGAAACGTTTATATTTACAATTACTAGAAACTGCGGCGGTTCTTCAGGAATACAGAGGTTTTATTTAGATGTTGTTTGGCTTCCATATTAGTCCCAAGTCTCCTCTTTTAGCATTTCATTTATGTTTGCAGCCCTAACCCTGTGCGTTTGTCAGTGTACCTTAAACTGCTTTAAGGAATAGTGTAAGCTAGATATCATTACTTTAGTTTGTCAGCCAGAGACCTGATGAAGAACATCAACGTTATTTAACCCCAGAAAGCTGGAAATTCCTTCTGTTTGTTGCCTTTTGAGGTGAAGCGGCTCGTCCTGTGAAGTAAAACGTTTTTGTTTTTAACAGTAAAAGTAAGATTCACACATGAGTCAACATTAGCAGAAAGATAAGAACGTGACAGCCGTTTGACGCAGGAGGAATTGTTTTTTTTAACTATCTGCATAAGTGATGCAATAAAAAAGTTTTCTGATTGTTAGCTTTTCTCACCATCAGTGTGTTTTTAATACGTGTGAACTAATGGACATCAGCAGCAGTTAGAAGGCCCCGTTGTCGTGTTTACTGACATGTTTAACCCTCCTTTCAACCCTTCAGTTAATGATTACAGAGAAATACTGGGAAAAGATGAGATGCAAGCTCTCCTCTTAAGGTGTTTTACAGACCTGGAGGCGTTGATGCTCTACAATGTTTTTGTCCGTGTTCCAGATTTTCTCTTAAGCTTAATTCAAACGTTAGACAGCACACCGAAAGGTCGACACTGAAGGCAACGTTTGGGATCTCTTTGGCTTGAGAAGATTTCTGCAAAATGCTTATTTGGCCTTTGGGGGAAGTTTCCACTCTGTGTTTCACTGGAGCCAGAGCTGGCTTCTCCTGCTGACAGCTGGACCAGTTCAAAGAATTCCCAACAGACAGAATCAAGAAGTCGGAAAACCAACTATGTAACAACAGGTGGTTGAAACCGGACATTGGGTTTAGACTTTAAGATTGTTTTTGGGACTCGCACTTGGCCTGTCGAACATAGTGACTTGACTCAACCTGGGCTAAACCTATGTGACTCGTACTTGCACTTGGATTCTCACACTAAGGACTCGAGAGATGGTTATTTTAAAAAAAAATACTTCAAATTCTTTGAGTAACATGATTCTGCTACAGCTTTTGTGGATTTTAATCATCAGTCAGATAATTAAAACAAACCAGAACTAGAGGTTGACCGATATTGGTTTTCTATTGCCGATACCGATATGTGGAGGTCACGGTCAGCTAAAGGCAGATATCTAGACATTTTTCACCTCATTTACCTGCTAAAATGTCACTAATAACATCAGCTAATGCACAAAAGTTCTGACGCCGACTCTGCTTTTCAACACTGAATTTAACTAACTGCCCAGTGTTAAAATCTGTATCTAACTAAAGTTAATCAAACAAATCAATTAACTGAGTTAACTATTAACTATTCAAATCTGGTAAAAGAAAAAATGGTTGAAAATAAATGTTTAGAGTACTTATTGTGTAGTTGTTATTCAGGAACGTAAATATGGACCGTTTCTCTAAACACGAGTACGCTGTTGCGTTCTGTGTACTTGACAAGTATGTTCTTGGCAAGAACACCAGAAAGTTCGTTTTGCCGAGTATGGGAAGATGAGGACGGCATTTGGAACAACCGTATACATACACAGCAAATTTTATAGGTTACACACAATTATTTACAATAACTGACAGATTTATATTTCATTTTTTAGTCTTTCTGATATAAAACTACATCTGACGTTCAGAGTATAATGGTTTGTGACGCAATGCATTGTGGGATACTTTGCTGTCCCAAGTCTGCAGAAGGATGCATCCTCGATACAACGAGCAGAACAGGAACACATCCAGGAAATTTGAGCAGAAGAAACTTGCTTTATAACGTCGCGTTCGTGCAGGCAGCAGGCTGCGTCTTTGCTCACATGCTGCTGCTGCACGGCGCGGCATGTAGTAATGGAGTGTTCCATCAGGGGGTGCTCTAGACTACTCAGACCGAACAGAGAGAGCCGGGTTTGTGGGTACAACTAAAATAAAAGCTCACTAACTGTCAGTTTTGAGATAACGACAGAAAAACGCATTAATTTCGGAAGATGTGCACAAACAATGTCTCAAATCAGCTCAAGTTACGCAAGGCAGCCATTTTAAACACGCGTACGTGTCATTTAACAAGTATATTCTGGTCCTTGGGATTGGAAGAGTACTTGGGCTAAAGCTGATGATGTTTATCAAGTACACAAGTACAGACAAGTACACATATTGAGAAACGGCCATTCATTTAAATTCAAATCAGTGTAACCAGGCTGCCCAGGGACGTGCCTGACTTTAAATCAGCTTTACTAAGGAGATGCTGATATATTAAAAGATGGTATATTTGGGCCTACTGATATCAGTCTACTACTAATCAGAACACTGATGCCTTCACTATCATGTTTCAAATGAAACTACCTGAAAAACCCTTTTCTAAACAGAATCACCAGCTAACGTTTAAGCATCCAGTCGTATGTAACTCCTGTTCTTGGCAGTATTTGACATACGTAAAGAACTGATTGGATGATCATTAAAGAATGTTTACAGACACTGGCATTTATAAAACAGACTGGTAATGAAGTAGACATCTGTTTGCAGAAATAACCAGACAAACTAAGTGTAGCTAAACTATCGCCCTACTCTGTGATCCTCTTGTGAACCTTTTTGGCAGAAAAGAAAACACTTTTGTGTGCTATTGAGAGAACTTTTGGCATTTTGACTCATGGAAAGTGTCCTTTATTTATCTCTGTACACATTTTCCAACATCAACCAGCAACTGAGGTGTTCCACAGATCCTGTGTTGTTGCTGTAGACCTGCTCTAACGAAGGCTTTTCTCATTTAGCCGACGTGTGTGTGTGTGTGTGTGTGTGTGTGTGTGTTTGTGTGTGTGTACATGTCTAAAAGATCAAAGGTCAAATAAGCACAGAGGGTCAGGAAGTGCCTGTACTAGGATTGTACAGGAAACTAATAAAATATGGATGTTGAACAGATGAAACGGAGATCTTCTTTTTAAGGATTGGGAGTTTTCTTTGGTAAAATAAAGTTAAATTAAGTGTTTAAGAAATTTCTCCCGTTTTTTTGTGTAATTTCCAACATTGCTGTTTTTACGAGTGTAGATGTGCAAAACGGTGAACAGATTCAGTAAAAGCTACATTTTACTTTTTGTTTCCTCTTCAGATTCAATTTTAATGGCTGCTGTTCTTTTCTTTTATTGTATTTTTAAATAATCAAACTGATGATTATAACTGCAGCCAGAACTGACCGAAGTAGTCCTAGAATCCATCATGTGTGTGAATTTGTTTGATGGTTCTGCATCAAGGGAACTGGAGGCTTGGTACCGAGTTTGTAACGGTTTGGTGACGTTTTTAAAATATTTGGATGTATGTACAGAATATTGAGAATTTAAATGATATCTGTCTGTAAAAGCTCTCAATAAAGGAACTTTTCACTCAGTAACTACGTTTATCTTCTGGCTGTTTATTTCAAACCCTTTTAAGTAGAAACTGAGGTTATTTACTTAAAATAGTTTTTTTCTGACGTCAGATCTCAGCTGATGTGTTTTATAAATACATTTCCCCTCATTGATAGTCAACTGCTTATTTACAGGGAAGCCAAGAGCATTGTTGGTAGTAACGCATAGCAAAAGTAATGAGTTACATATTCCTCCTTCAGTAACTGAGTAATAAAGCACATTATTTTAAACAAATGTGGCAATTCATTTGTCCGTAACACTTCGTTAAAAAATCGTCTTCCTCCGCTTTTCCGGGTCACGGGGTCAGCATCCCAACTAGGGAGCTCCAGACCGTCCTCTCCCCAGCCACCTCCACCAGCTCCTCCGGCAGGACCCCAAGGCGTTCCCGGACCAGATTGGAGATGTAACCTGTCCAACGTGTCCTGGGTCGACCCGGGGGCCTCCTGCCGGCAGAACATGCCCGAAACACCTCCCCAGGGAGGCGTCCAGGAGGCATCCTGACCAGATGCCCAAACCACCTCAACTGACTCCTTTCGATCCGGAGGAGCAGCGGTTCTACTCCGAGTCCCTCCCGAATGTCCGAGCTCCTCACCCTATCTCTAAGGCTAAGCTCGGCCACCCTACAGAGGAAACTCATTTCGGCTGCTTGTATCCGCGATCTCGTTCTTTCGGTCATTACCCAAAGCTCATGACCATAGTTGAGGATTGGGACATAGATCGACCGGTAAATGGAGAGCCTGGCTGTCTGGCTCAGCTCCCTCTTCACCACGACAGATCGGCTCAGCGTCCGCATCACTGCAGACGCCGAACCAATCCGCCTGTCGATCTCCCGATCCCTCCTACCCTCACTCGTGAACAAGACCCCGAGATACTTAAACTCCTCCACTTGAGGTAGGACCTCTCTCAGTAACACTTATAGAAACATTTCAAATAATACAGTGGTCCAAATTTTTGTGTTTATTGGGGCTTCTGTAGCCAGCTGGTGAGCGGTGCCTGTTATGGTTAAGCAGTTAAAGGTGGGGTCAGAGATGGAGCATTTTTTTGCCATATTGCCTGAAATGCTCTTCTTCTTTTACTTTACTTACTTACATACTGATGGCAAGCAATAAATGAAATGGTTTGGTAAAAAACTGAAAACCTTTAATCAACTAAAATAGACAAGGTGTAATTTTTACCAATAATCTCTGGAGATATCCATCAAAATGTTGAAAATGAATGAAATGATGCTCAGTTGCTGAAAAGTATTTGCTGCTTTGTAACATATGACCACAAAAAATGGGTCTAAGATACATGGGAGCAGGTCCAAGTCTCTGGTTAAAGAGCAAGTCACCCCCAAATCAACTTTTTTTCTGATAAACTATATAAATGTGTGTATAATTGTGCTGCAGACACGTGTAGTCAGTAGTTTTGCACTTTAGTGCATTTTAGTTAAAATTGGAATCTTCTGCCTAAAACTGTCAGTGTTGTGCCATTGTCAGGTAAAAACTAAACTGCAGTTGAATTTAAATCTGCCATCGCTACTGGCTAAGAGGTACCCTAGAACGTTAACTGGTACCATATGATGTCACAATGTCATTGTGAGCCTGTGTGTGTGTGTGTGTGTGTGTGTGTGTGTGTGTGTGTGTGTGTGTTAGCGGCTCTGCCCTCTCGGTCTGCTAGACAACAGCATTTGGTGCATTTTTCAAACAGGAAGTGGGAGTGGAGTAATACTCTGGTAGGGGGTGACTTGCTCTTTAAGACGTAGAGTAAGTCATGTTTTCCTTTACGGGAGCCCGTGAGGACAAAATGCATTTACTGATTTGTAACAAGCGGTTACTAAACTTTGCCATTCATAAACATTGTTTTACACATTTACCTCTTCACTTGTTGCCAGTGGTGAAAGGGATTTTGCTGGAGGTTGCACTCACAAGGACTTTTGACCTTAATGGCCATCCGTTGGTAAGGTCTTACTCAAAAACAAAAATAGCGCTTGCTTGCAATAATCCAGGTAGGTACATCCCCCTAACGCCAGGGAAAACGCACATTGTGATTTTATTGTATAATCCTGGAAAACCCTCTTCCAATTGTTGTGAACCCTTGAATCATGATCCATCCATCCAACTGCCCTTTGACCGTCTCTTACCCCCTCCAGCACGAATCCTACCATCACAGCTTGGAGCAGCTGAACAGGAAGTGAAGCCCAAGCTGGGCTAGCTATATTAGTTAGCATGCTAAATAGTTTAATTTGCTAATGAGAGTGTGAAATGCATCTCGAGTTAAGAATATTTAACCTTTTTACAATATTGTTTCTCAAAGAACTTTTACACAATAATTTTTGGAGTTTCACCGGTGTCATGATGTTGTCTTTATAAGACCTTTTGGTCTTCCTAACTTCTGCCCGACTTAAACTAAACTAAACCATAATTCCTTTCCAAAGTTTTCTTTGGGTTTTGGCTTATTTTTCAGCCATTTTCAGTCCTTTTTTAAGCCTTGGCTTAAAAGGTGCCCTAACTCAAATGAACACGTTTCCTGTGCATACCGGGCCGCTCAAGAAAGAAAACTTTCATTCATGTATTTAGGTATTTTGTCACCCACAGGATGCGAGTAGCTGCCCAAGTGTTCTTGGGCGAGGGCTGTTGGGGAAACCAAAGACACAGATAAGAAAAATTCTGCTTGAATCAAGGATATCATTGTGGGGAAACTGCCAAATATGGTCAAACAGGATGTTTTCTTCATTGTCACGTCTCAAAAACAAAATGATGTGAATGATTATTGGATTTCCCTATGAAGTCATCTAGTGATTTCATATTCTGCTCTAATGAGTGATTGAATACAGAGCCTCATACAAAACCTGCTTGGTTTGCTCTCCATACCTGGACCGCTTCATTCTCTGACCGAGTCCCTTACGTAGTGATTCTGGAGGGTTGTCCTCACCAGTCCATCTTTGTCATAAAACAGTAACCATGTGTTCACTGTCTGATGGTGGACTAGTGCTGAACTGTCTTACATAGTCACGCCTCATAGACTTCAGCGCAGTCGAGTCCTCTGGCTTGTCCTCGATGGCTACAGTGACCGTTGAATTTGCCACCCCATCCTGGGGCATTAGCTGCTGGAACATCTCCATTGTTGTATAATCACTTGCAAAGTCCAAAGGTAACCCATGGACTTGTGTCCGGTGTGTGTCCAATAATGCTTCTGCCGTATCCTCGGGTAGGTTATCTCCAGCTGCGCTCTCTGTGTCCGTCTGGATCCAGTTGCAAGCTATTTCTGGGGATTCCTGGACGTCCTCTTCAGTCTTGAGAAGTGGCAGCATCATTGGTAAAGTTCCAGCAAGACTGACGTCTTCCCTTTCAAGTATGTGAAGACTTTTGGTGTCCAACTCTTCCACTATTAGAGTTGCACAAGCTTCTAAGAGTTCCTGAGTACAGAAAGTGGACAGTTTGCGGACACTTCCTCTCAGGCTTTTTACTGAAAGAGAAAGACACTCACCAGCTGACCGTGCCCGTCTATTTTCTGCACTGCAATGCTGTTTCCAAGGTTGGGCATGCTGGGCCACAAGATGACTTTAGCCCTGGCCAGAGAAGGAGAAGACGTTGTCGACTTGTATGAAGTAGCATGGTGATTCAAAAATATCACTTCACAAAATCTTTGTATGTTTGTTCCACCTCTTTAGTAATGGAGTCCCAAATATCAGCACGGTTGCAACAACGGAGAGGGCTATGATTAATCCAGTCTGATAAAAATGTCCTGTGAAGAAAACAATAATGCTAAATGTCAATCAATTGGTGGCTTTATGGCAGAAATTCACATCTTTTAAAGTGACGTAAATCTAAAAAACAACAAGTAATTTCTGAGTGAATTTGCAAGCTAACAGCTAGTTTCAATCAGGCTAAAATCAAAGACAATCGCTGTTGTCTTCAGACAAGTCCAGTCTAAAAAATCATGAATTTTGGCAAACATGACTTTATATTATGTACACATTTGTTTACATCTATGGTTACTTTTAGCCAAAACTAGCAGCTAGCTAGCATAGCACTTTTATTTTTGCATGTAAAATTTTAGACTTTCTAGTGGAATAACGGAGAGTGGTTAATTTGTAAATGGCCTGCATTTGATATAGAGTCCTGGAACCCCCTAAGGTGCTTTACAACACAATCAGTCATTCACCCCTTTTTTTACACACATTCACACCCTGTTGGTGATGCGCTACGATGTAGCCACAGCTGCCCTGGGGCGCACTGACAGAGACGAGTCTGCTGTACACAGGTGCCACCGGTCCCTCCGAACACCACCAGCAGGCAAGGTAGGTTAAGTGTCTTGCCCAAAGACACAACAGCAGCGGCAGTACTTAACTCCTGTGCCACCGTTGCCCCATTTGTGGTTAAACAAACAACAAATCGCACAAGTGGCTATAAAACTTTGGGACTGAAGTTGTCTTAAAAACAGCAACAATCCACCCGGGTCTTGGTACTGTTAGTCGTTAGCTTCTCGATCTCGTCATTCAGAGGGGCTAGCTAGCCTATCTATGACAGGTATTGTTCAAAGCTCTCCTCAGAGACAATTCAAAAGATGTGAAATGTCCATTTAAATGGGCAGCAGTAGCTACGGATGTAGAGCAGTTTACCCAGCAATCAGAAGGTTGCAGGTTCGATTCCGGCACTGGCCAGAGAAGGCTGCTGTTGTGTCGATGGGCACGACACTTAACCCACCTTGCCTGATGGTGATGGTCAGATGGAATGGAAACGCCGGTGCTCAGCAGGCCTTGCCTCCGTCAGTGCACTCCAGGGCAGCTGTGGCTACAATGTAGCTCATCACCACCAATGTGTGGATGACTGATTGTGTTGTGAAGTGTCTTGGGGGGTTGTAGAACCCTAAGAAGGCACTAGACGAACACAGGCCATATACCGTAAGTGTTTAAAAAGACTAACCGTTGGGATTTGTTTTAAAGACACTTTCAGCACTCCGTACTCCTGCTCCTGCAGAGGTGAAAGCAGAAATCTGGACCTGATACGTTCTTCCACTTCTGAGGTTCCCTAGTTCATGCCTGTTAATCCACGGAGCCACTGTGATGTCTGTGAAGAAAGGATGAACACGTTGCTGCAGATTTTGCGACTTCTTACAGTTGTGATGTGTGTGTTCAACACATCCCATCAGGCAAGGCTTTACAAGGCTGCCGTCCAATCCTGGTCCTCGAGAACCCCAAACCAACATGTTTGGATTCAACACACCTGACTTTGTCCAGCTCATAGTAACTTTTCCCATTCAGAATAATCAGATTACATTTGAGAAGATATTCGCAGAAGCACTAAAACCTCCACAAACATCACTTGCTTGATTTTGTCAGATGAAAATTGATTTGGTTTCATACTGTTCTCTGTTCTCATCCCCTTCTGGTGATGCTCGGAGTAGTGGATCGTGTAACCCAGCAGGAACCCTCTGATCTGCTCTTCTGGGATGGACGACCACTGCACCACCACTGATTTAACCGTCTTGTTATGAAAGCTGATGTCAGCCGGCGCGCCCACTGGAGCTACGGGCACATGGAGATGATTAAAAACAACCAAATCATGGATTTGTTGTCTGGATTAATGAGTCACTCGACTTACATCCTTGGAGGAAGTAAAAGTGCGTGGTGCCGTAGGTGCTCTCGCTGTCGTTGATGGCCTTCATGTTGCAGGTGTCCTTGTCTGGCCGCAGGTGAAGGGTGAGGCTGTATTTCTTGTAAGGCTCCAGTTGTTCTGCATATTGCAAGAAAGCGACACCTTCATCGTAGAGAACAGCATCTCCATAACTCAAAAGTGTTTTCTGCTGGTTATTACGCTCACCGGTTGTTGGTCTCTTAAAACGGGATAGAGTGATTACATGTAAATGTGGTGTGAAAATCACTGTTTTCAACATGCTTTTGCTCAACTCATTTGTGTGTAAAGCAACACCATATGTGTTGTGAGGCGGCGCAGCTTTTAGCTTTTGTGTTGCAGCCTGCAGGCTTTCTGCGTTGCGTTAGCATGTTCCCCTCATGCATGTGTGCATTTTCTCCAGGTACTCTGTGGCTTTCTTTCCACAGATTATAAACTGCGTCCTTTAAAAGTTGCTTTGGGTAAAAGCATCTGCCAAACAGATAACCTGGAGCATGCAGAGAAAACCCATGCATGCGTGCATTGGGAGAACATGCAGACTCCATGCGGATAAGGTGTTGAATCTGCAACCTTCTTGCTTCAAAGCAATAGTCCTACCCACTGAAGAAGAAGAAGAAAGAAGAAGAAAGTATCATTTCTATAGCACCTCTCAAGATAAAAATCACGAGGCGCTTCACAAAAACAAAAAAAATGTAAAAATACAAAAAAGAACCTAGAAAATGGTCAAAAATATATCCAAAATGAGCAAAAATAGAAAATTGTGATGTAAAAAATGTGAAGAAAGAGAGAGTGAATAGGAAAGAGGGAAATCAGTGGATCCTGAGGAAGATGGGATAGGTGGGGGGGTGGGGGCAGAACAAGGAGACAGTGAAGGAAGGTCATACAAAAGCCAGCTTGAACAAGTGAGTCTTCAGCTGCTTTTTTAAAGGAGACCACTGAGTCCACTGATCTCAGGCTCAGGGCGAGAGGTCCAGAGTCTGGGGGCCACAGCAGCAAATGATCTGTCACCTTTGGTCTTTAGCCTGGTGCGCTGCACAACCAGTGTGTCACCATGCAGTCCTGCCCTGTCCAAATACCTCATTTGACCTTTTCTGAGAATGTTTGAGATTATTCTTTGTGAATCTCTATGCCTTCTAGTGGTGGACTGGCCATCGGGAGGACCAGGACATTTTCCACCAATTACTGGAGCAATTTCCTAATGTTGTGATTTCTCACACATATGGACTGGAGCTGACAGAAGACAGCACATCACACCCATTCTGAAAGCACTGCATTGGTGGCCTGTTCAGTTCAGAGTCAACTTCAAAATCCTACTACTTGCATTCAGATGTTAAAGCAGTCAGGCCCCTCCCTATCTAAGCCAACTCCTCCATTTCTACCGCCCTTCTCGTGCTCTTAGGTCTGCAGATAAACTCCTCCTCGCCGTCCCTAAGGTGTTTAAGGACTCGTGGGGAAAGGGCTTTTTGTTTCCATGCCCCAAAATTTTGGAATTCCACCCCTTCTGGTTAGACGAGCACCCTCACTTCCCATCTCTAAATCGAGGCTGAAAACGCGTTACTTCTCCATGGCCTTCGCTTCTTAGCATTAACAATTTGTCATACCTCCTTCCACTGTGGTTTTCCCATCTTAAATCTGTGGTTTGACTACAGTTAATAATTTTTTATTGGTTTTTTTTTTGGAACCGTTCTTTGTTGTATCATTCTTTAATAATGGGGTGACGGCGGCACAGGAGTTAAGTGCTCGCCCCGCAATCGGAAGGTTGCAGGTTCGAGACTCGCTCAGTCTGTCGCTGTCGTTGTGTCCTTGGGCAAGACACTTAACCCACGCTGCCTGCTGGTGGTGGTCGGAGGGACCGGTATTGCCAGTGCTCGGCAGCCTCACCTCTGTCAGTGTGCCCCAGGGCAGCTGTGGCTACATTGTAGTTCATCCCCACCAGTGTGTGAATGTGTGTGTGAATGGGTGAATGACTGATTGTGTTGTAAAGCGCCTTGGGGGGTTCCAGGACTCTAGAAGGCGCTATATCAAATACAGGCCATTTACCATTTACCATTTTTACCATTTAATTGATTTTATGACTCAACTATTTCATGCTTTTCTTGTTTTACTTTGCGCAGCGCTTTGGTTGGTTGTAATGCCATGTTGAGAGCGCTTCTATAAATAAAACGGTGTGGTATCTAGCAATAAAACGCTTCTGATTCTGATTCTTGGTGTTTATGAGGATTTACCTGTTAAAGAAGAAAAGTTCTTGTGGTTTTCAGTCTTCTCATAAAAGGACCGGTACTGAACAGGATGGCCCTTTTTGCTCCACTCCACCATGTAGCAAACATACTTTTTAACGATCTCTTCTCTCCAGTAGACGGTAAAAGAGGTGTTGCTGTGAACTGTGACATTCACCTCCCAGTCTTCTACATCTGTTAAGAGTCGCATCATTTAACTTCATCACATTTCCGAGGCTTCACCCTCCCACTGTCTTTATGGGTGACCCCAAGAGGAAAGTTGGCCATTGAGCAGGATTGATGGTTCATCCCTTGAGGTCCATGGTGACAGGGGTGAGGTGGTGCTCACCCCTGTCACACGGACCCAAGGGATGAACAGTCAACCCTGCTCAGTGGTCAACTTTCCTCTTGGGTTCACACCCATTAGGACAGTAGAAGGGTTATAATTGATATCTGTCACTGATTGGAATAAAAAGACACCACATGAGCTCGTACCGTTAAAGTAATCCCGTTGTGGAATAACGTGGCTCACAGGGGGAGAGACACTGGCGTTGTTTACTGCGCTGATGTTGAGCTGATAAGCTGAATAGGAGAGAATCAGCGTGATCTCAGGCTGGAGGATTTTAATCCGCTGAAGTGGTGCCTCTCCTGAGGCCTTCCAGACAGTCACAACGTAGACGTCACACAGCTCCTCAGCAGGAAACTGCCAGACAGAATGACTTCAACATCACAGCAGAAAACCTTTTTATTCAGTCATTTAAAAAAAAGGGGGGGGGGGGGGGGGTAAACAGACCTTCCAGGTGAGGAAGATCAGTCTGCGTCCTGGTTTGTCGGCGATGTCTGTGTCTTTGAAGCTGTTGATGACGGGTTGGGTTGTGAGTTCTGAAAGGAGACTTTAGAATCACAAAAATGTAACCAGGTGTTTCCACTCATTCCTCTTTTCAAGCAAAATGAAGGATTAATCTGCTTACGTTCAGATAAACGCAGAAGTACAAGCACTCACCCGACGGGACAGGGAACTCTTCACTCCACGGACACTGGACGCATTTATCATTGGTGACGCATCGTATCTGCATGACGTAGACCAACGACGAGTTGAAACTTTCTCTGAGTCTGCTTCCGTGGTGATAGTTTAGATGTGACTGTGAACAGAGCAGATCATCCACGAGTGAAGGGCTGGAAACCAAACCAACATTTCTTATTTCCTTTAAATTCACCAGGAGGAAGGCAATAAGGAACTTCGGTTAATCTTTCAGATCAATTTAATTAACTTCTACTTCCTGAAACAGGAGCGCCAGAGCGTTTTCCTACGGAAATCAACTCACAAGGCATTGACTTATACTAGAAACCATTGCAAACGCATAGAAAAAATGGCGGCGCTTTCACATCTGGATCGTCATGGACCCACCCTGATAAGGCATGTTGTGGTATAATCTGGGTAGATGGTGTGTTTTCTGTGCTCAACTAACCAATTTTCCAGACCTCCTTCCTCTGTGGTCTGTTTCAGGCTGAACTGACCCAATGCCGACTGATTGGCCAGCTGAGATTAACGCCTACTTAGTGGGAGCCTCCGATTGGCGGGTAGAATCAGCCAGGAAGGTCTTCCCGCATGCGCTATTCATTTTTAAGCCTGAGTCATGCTTCTGGGTCTGCATCAGTGCGGAGACACGCAACGCCATTATCCGTCCTTGCGGGCCTGCTGGAGAGCTCCGCAAGGACGGACGGAGTCGAGCTCTCTTTTCCAAACATCCGTCCGTCGAGATGGACAACGCAAGCTTGTGATTGGTCAGGGCACCGCTGTCGTCCACACCGCCGCCATTGCGCACTCAAAAACATAGAGAGAGCCGAGGATAACTAGTGGCAGACACGGAGAAGCTTGAAGAATACCTCGCGAAAAAACTCTAAAAACATGAGCGTTTAATTCCCCCGTGATTGGAGGAGTGAAAAGATGCGCAGCAAGCATTTTATTTGTGGACGGAAATGACAGGAAACGTGGGTTTAGAGGTGGCGAGCGCATGAAGAGGTGGAGGAGAAGGAGAGACAAATTTGTCCGTGTTAAAAGTCTCTTATATACAAAATACACAATCTAAACACACTATCTTGGACCAGATACATGACAGGATGCCACAGAACAGCGCTACGCCCTCTGTTGTCCTGCCGGGCAATTGCTTTGCAACACTCCCCAGGAGACGGAGAAGTATGAGAGCAAAACATCTCCGTCCGTGCGTGCGTATCTGTCCCTTTTGGAGCTGACGGAGAAGCATGACTCAGGCTTTACTCTGTATGCTGGGGAGTAAACATCTCTGACTGCAGCGAGGACAAACTGCTGTGAAGAGCACACAGCAGTCTCAGTAACCCTCTTTAGAAGATGCACCATGCAGGCAAATCAGCGTAATACTGCCGCTACGATGTGTCTTATGAACTCACCGTGGCGGCATGGTGTTGCGGGACTTGTGAATGCTTTATTACGCTTTGGCACAGCGGAGGGTGGTATCATGATCACGTATGGAATTACTGCCGATCTCCGGGCGGCAAAACTATATTGACAATAAACGTAAACAGCAAGTTTCGCTTTTGTTAACAGAACCAGCTGAGATGATAAACTGGAGCGATGCAGTGCTCCAGGAGCTTCTCTCAGTTAGAGCTGTAGCTCAGATCACCAGTTCACACAGGAAATGTGGCGTGCAGCCACCTTTAGGAGCGATTTGTCAAAAAAACGTAAATAAAAAGTAAGTTGTGACCAAGATAAATGAAAGTCCGCGGCAGCGCCCCATACCCCCTTTTTACCGCCATCGCGTAATCTTTTGTAAAAAAGGACACAATTGCACTACTTCACCGCCACAGTCTGACCACTTATGGACAACCCAAGGCTGCCTGATGCCGGCTCAGCGTTGCGTGAAACTGGCAGCATTGTCTTGTAAAAGAGGCAAGTGGTGGGAGCGAGCAGGAAGCCTTACCAGAGTCTTCAAAAGCAACAATGCTCACAGCCGCCTTTGTTTACTAAATTAACCCCTTAGAATTCCAGCATCCCGCCCATTGGACAAAACCCCATTGCGTTCATAAAACCTGGAAATTTAAGGGGTTAAGGAGGACACCACGGACTTCTCTGCCTGTCTTTTTCCCGCCCACCTGATCGGAGATTTCCACATTCCCAAGAAGGATATGTGAACATATTCGAAATCCGGCTTCAGCCTTTCTGCGTGGAGTTGCATGTTCTTCCCATGCATGCATGGGTTTCCTCCGGGTTCTCCGGTTTTCCCCACAGATCACAACATGCCCTATAGGTTTACAATTGCTTTGGATAAAAGCGTCAGCCAAATAAATAAACATGAAATTAAAACGCCATTAGTAAACTTGGTATTTGATCCTCGGTCTTCTTTACACGTGATTTTTTTCCTCTTGTTTTAAAATGTACCATATGTGTCTTAATCTTTCACTAAAACCAAGTATTCCAGTGTCAGCAGGTTGGTTCCTGACCTCAGTCCAACCGGGATCAGCAGGCTGTTTATATCTTGCTGTGAAATTTTTGATGAACTTTTTGTCTCTCGGTTGCCAGCTCACGTTCACGTCGAGTTTTCCAGCGATGCGACGGAAGGAAACCTTGTCAGGAGGCCCACAGCGCACTGAAAGAGTTGCATTCAAAGAACGATCCTTAAATTTACAATGTGTTGGGAATTCATTTCAAAAGGAGTAAGGAATTCTCTTCTGGACTTACACAGGCTGTCAGGTGAACCTCTGAAAACTGCTTTTGTGCAATCGGCTGTGTTTGGGTTTTCAAAAATCTCCACTGTCATGTTCAAACCCCGATAGATTGGAATGCTTTGATGTAATCTGGTGATATTGCGAAGTTGATGGCAGTATCTTCTGTACAGAAACAACAAAAAACATGAAAACGACAATTTGAAGGAGCAAACTGCAGATCTAAACCGTGAGCTGCCTACTGCTGCAGGATTTTCGTGCTCTGCTGTTGTACGACGAGTGTGTAAGTGTTTCCCGATGCGCGTCGTCCGGATTCCCACGTGCAGTTTTTCTCATTTATTTTACTGGAATGCCCAAAGCAGTCCAGCTGACGGACTCCACCTGTAAACGCAGAAACAATCCAGTTCCAGGCTTCAGCATGAACAGATGGATGATATTCAGTGTTTTTTTCACCTGGATGAATGCCACAGTGACGAAATTCTGCAGAAATGTTCGAGGACCTGCAGCTGACTGGAACACAATGTGGTGGTTACAAAGGTTCACAAACAGGAGGAGAATCAGCGATTGAACGCCTCCTTACTCATGATGGGAAATAACTTCACAAACAGTGGTGGCTTGAACACTGCTGCTAACCACTTAAACTTTCTCCCTCTCCTGATGATAACATTTTACTCTCTTTGACATTAAATGTGCTACTACTAGTTTATCAGTTTAATTATAGATTCACTAGGATAAATACAATAAAGTTTATCTCTCACCAAATAGAATATTTACTAAGAAATCACAATGTACCCACAGAAACACTACTTGGTATACAATATATGTTGTGTGTGTGTGTGTGTGCGTGTGCGTGTGTGTGTCTGCTCTGTCTTCTCGATCCCCAGTGAGTCGTGGAGGATGGCTGCTTACACTGAGCCAGGATCCTCCGGAGGTTTCTTCCTTTTAAAAGGGAGTTTTCCTCTCCACAGTCGCTACATGCTTGCTTAGTATGAGGATTGCTGTAAAGTCACTGACACTAGACAGTGACTTGATGCGATTTGTTGGGTTCCTTACACAGGAAACTTTTTACTGATTGGCTTAATGAACTGGGGCCTCATTTATCAAGCTTGCTCATGCACATAACGGGGTCGGAAAACTGCGTAAGCAACTTTCCACGCAAACTTTGGGATTTATGAAAGAAAACTTAGTGGAAAAATGTGCGCAACTTTAAGTTGACTAAGGACCTGGCTTACGCACATGTTGGACATGGAGAGCACCTGCAGTGCTGCTGCTGAGAAGGATACAATTATGAAATCCAGCAGCATTATCACTTGTACCGCTTCGTTTTCACACAGAACAAGACCCCCCTCCACACACACACACACACACACACACACACACACACACACACACACACTTACACACACATGCGCGCACACACACACACAAGTCTCACCCACAGATACCTCAATTTCTGCTTCTGTGAAATTGCACTTCCTTGATCTAAGGTCGCCATGCCATTGGCGGAACGCTGCAACAGCCGGCTTATGTATATGCATGAGATCCACAAGGCAATTTGCATTGACTATTTATGGCAGTAAGTGGGCGTGGTGAGGGCGGGATGTGACTAAGGCCTAGTCCACACGTAGCCGGGTTTGTTTAAAAACGAATATCCACCCCTCCAAAAACTTGCATTCACACCACCTCGTTTTAAAAAAAACTCTGTCCACACGTACCCGGATAAATACGTTGTTAAGGACATGCCAGACCTGTAGGCGGCAGTACTTCCCCGTTCTTAACCTCGTCCTTCGTCTGTGGTCTTCCGCAAGGAGCAGTAATTCCGCTTGCAAAAACAAACAAGCAGAAAGCACTTGGACAACTGATAAAGCGAGCGCAGCTCTGAGGGCATCCATGCTGTCGGCTAGTGTAAACACAGGTCGCACACGTGATGTCAGCATTCTTTTGTCGCGGAAAGTGACGTTGCGGACCTTAAAACTCTGGTTTTGTCCGTCCACACGCAGACACCCAAAACAGAGAAAACGCAGATCTTCACTTTGGCCGGAGTTTTTAAAAAGATCCATTTTCGTGTGAAAAAACTCCGTTTTCGTGTGGATGACAGGCCAAAACGTAGAAAAATATCTACGTTTTGGCAGATCCCCGGCTACGTGTGGACAGGGCCTAAAATGCAGCTGAGAAACATTCTTGTTAGTCTCTGATTGATGAAGCGGAGATTAGGGCTGGGCGATATGGCAAAAATAGAATATCACGATTTTTCCAATATTTTATCACGATTTCGATTTTATCACGATTTTTTTTATCCATGAATAGCATAACTTCAATTGCGTATTAAAGAAGAGAAACATTGAATAAATAAACATTTATTCATATTAGGGATAATCAGCACAGTGCTAACACACTTATATTTTAAACTCACACCAGAGATGATAAAAGCCCTGAGAGAAACAATTACAAAAATCAGTTTTTCTCGTTTTTCAAGTAACTTAACATAAATTAAAATCGTAAACATATTTAAAGTGCAAACATGTCAATTGCAAACGTATTGTGCAAACATTAACTTGTTCAAAATACTATGTAGCTCCCAGTTGCTCATGTAGTGGATAGTTAAGCTCAAATACGGCTCTGATGTGCGGCTGGACCAGAGATCGCTTGTGGTAGCAAATAACTGCGCATTCTGAATATTTTCTGCAACAAGTCTCTAAATAAAGTAAAATTTTCCAGTGCAGATTGGAGACAACCCATAGAAGCACTGATTTGATCTCATTTCAGAGAAAAATAGCACATGTCAGATGCACCTAATAAATAAAATTACTAACAAACTCAGGAATCTTTCTTTGCTTCCCTGTTCTGGTGCTGAAAATATCACTAATGCGGATCAAAGGAGATACACAGATGAATGCACCTCTTATTATTTGGAGACTACATTTACTGCAGCTGGCAGAGGCAGAGATTGTTTCTATTGATACACGGAGTTTACAGAATCATTTTAAATGTTAATAGGGGAAGACTGCAGGAGGGAGCGGTAAAATAGAGGGGGTCCCTAACAAAAACAAGAAACTTTATGAGTCTGATGAAACCCGCTGGTTTTCCATCAGGCAGTCACGGGGCTGCTCCATCGACCCAGTGACCGAGCTCAGTCCGGTACAGGTGTCGGTACAGGATCTGCTCGGGTGCAAGATCGGCTCGGGGTCCGTCGACTGCCGATGACGTCTAAGTAGTTGATTGGCTGAACATAAACCTCACGGAATTACGTAATCACGTTACGTTATCACGTTACGTTGGTCCAGGCAAATCTTTCTATTGGAAAGATGGACAACTTTTACAAAGAAATCCATCATTACCTCTTTGAAAATACACTTTTAGCATAGAGCTGCATGTATATTAGGGCTGAACGATTAACTGCATGTGCAATTAAATTGCGATGTGACAAAAGGAGATTTTCTAATCTCAAAGGCTGCAATTTGGCAGCGAGTGGTTAGCGCAATGCTAATATACATGGAAAAACCCATAGGAATGCTAATGCTAATATCGCCGATTACATTATTACAAATTATGAATTAGAAACGTGCCAAATGATTACATTTGGAGTCTTATAGAAAGTAAAAATACCATCAATCAAATAAGTACAGACAGGTATTTTAGTAAAGCCAGGAGATTTTCTAATCTCAAAGGCTGCAATTTGGCAGCGAGTGGTTAGCGCAATGCTAATATACATGGAAAAACCCATAGGAATGCTAATGCTAATATCGCCGATTACATTATTGCAAATAATGAATTACAAACGTGCCAAATGATTACATTTGGAGTCTAATAGAAAGTAAAAAATACCATCAATCAAATAAGTACAGACAGGTTTTTTAGTAAAGCCAGAAAACGTTTAACTCCAGAGTTTTGGCTAGCAGCTACAGTCTATGACAAGACGTCAAAAACTCTAAACAAAATACTTAAATAAACGGGACACACTTCTTTCCTGCAAATACAATTTCACAGGTGTTGCTAATACCTATGATTCTTCAAGGGATGTGCTCAAAGAGGAGTTCAACATTATGAATAAGATATAGTGTTTTATTTTACAAATACCATTATAAACACAAACTTACGTCTTAAGAAACGTTATTTTAATAACGAAAGTGCTAAATTCTTTCCAACAGTATAGACGTGTAGTGTATTTTGTCCGAGTCGGTTTGCCGTACTTTGACGTCATCGGCAGTCGAAGGACCCCGAGCCGATCTTGCACCCCGAGCAGATCTTGTACCGACACCGGCTCGGCAGAGGGTGAACGAGCCGAGGCGACGTCGTGCTCTGCTTAAGAAGCGGTGTTATTTTCCTGCTTCAGAAGAAGCGTCCAACGTGTTTTTACGCTTTCTCCGAGACATGTCACGTCACTAAGTTGTTAGCGCCGCGCGCTAAGGAAACCCTGCGTTCCTCTTCGGAACGAAAACCTTGTTGTCGCTCAGCCGTGGCGAAGCCATGTTTGTTCACACACAGGTGAAGGTGAAAACAAGCGGGGCACTAATATATTACTATGACTCACTCTGATTGGTTAAGGGTCAAACAAAGGCGTGTCATTCGCCTGGGGTAAGTTCCCTTTTCATTCAGAGGCAGAAATTCAACAGCAGAGCTGTGAACCGTGATAAAACGGTCTCTCAAAAATGACAGACCGTCAGATGTGTAGATCGTAAAACGGTCTAAAATCGTCATATCGCCCAGCCCTAGCGGAGATTGCGTGCAGCTGTGCGTGCTCCATGTTTGATAGATCACAAACCTACTTAGCGTAAGTACATTTTTTTTTGCTGAGTTTAAGTACGGTTTTAGTAAGGATTCTACGCAACGTTTGATGAATGAGACCCCTGGCCTGTATTGGAATGTTTACTATGTGAAGTGCCTTGAGACGACTCTCTTCGTGACTTGGCGCTATAGAAATAAACTTGAATTGAATTGAAATTGAATTTATTATAGGAAGAAATCATGAGAGATCAGATCCTACCTTGATTAGGAGAGATGGGAGTGAAGAAGATGAGCATCAAACCTTCAGTGGGAGAAAAACAATCAGATCTGACAAAAATAAAGAAAAACTGTCTGCAAATAAGCAAGAGAGCCCGTTTCCTCCTGGAGAATCAGAATGTTTAGTCTGAAAGTGTCTTACCAAGGATCAGACCTCCAAACCAGCTGTGTTTGGGGTCCATCATGAGAACCACCTGAACTCAACTCGCTGCCAGCGTCTGTCAGAGACTGAAACCACGATGGTGGCTTTGGGGAAATCTCACACCTTTGACCTGCTGCCATTCACAGCCATGATGCACTCGGCGACTGCTCTCAGCAGACTGAACAAGAAGGAACTCAGCAGCGAGGTTTTGCGATGAGCGTGGCAGGGCGGAGACGGCTTTCAACAGCAAGGAAACATGTTTGTACTTCTTCTTTCCCAAAATAGAAACTTTTCAACATGAAAAGGAAAGACGCGCCTCTGCACAGACAGACGAAATGACTCGTGAGGTTCCTGTTCACATGACTAGAATGAATGGATCTGTGCTGAAGGTTGTCTTCTAGCGCACCTGGAAGGCTCGTCGCGCTTTATTGTGAGAACAGAAACCGCACTTCTCAGAGGCTCTTTCTTCTGCTTTCAAAGAACTCAAACAGCAAAATGCTCATTTCTGATGAGAAAACACAAATTCAGCCAGTTTTAGGAAGTTATCCATCATTTTCAGTCCAAGTCAGTGGGAGCTGCTGCTGTGGCTGTCTGAGACACGTTTCTGAGAAGAAAAGAGCTGATAGGAAGAGAACAGAAATGTGTGTTTTGTTGTGACACAGGTCTTTAAAGTAAAGGACTCAATTGTTATTCAAAGTCGAAATGATAAGAATAATGTTTTATTTAAACAGTCTGGCTGGGCAGCCCTTAAAAAATATGTGTGTGTGTGTGTGTGTGTGTGTGTGTGTACTTGTTTAACTATCCTACATAGAACTGGCATATTCACTAATCATCTGAAGACTGATGGGCTGCATTAAGACCAAAACCTGGTCCTAATACAGTGTTTTAGACTTAGGGGTGAGGTTTAGGGGTAAGGGTTACGGTTAGGTTTGGGTGATTGGTATCGATGGGTTCCCCCTGACGCCAAACCAAAGGTGTGTACTCTCACTCGAGATCAGGTCCAATCTTCAGCGTCTAGTTTCTGGTTTTTATGGGAAGTGTATCTGTGAGTGGTTGTTCCGAGAGGCCGTCGGCAGTCAACCTATTGAGATGAGATGTGCTGTGCACTTAGTTATGTCTC